TCCTCCTCCTCCACCACCTCCTCCTTGTTCTTTTCCTCCTCAACGACCACAGGGACACCGTCAAGAGTAATCTTCTGCAAGCGAGTAGCATAGCAGCTTGTTCGGTTCCCAACTGTGACGTGAGCCAACGGTTCTCCCCCAGGGAGTGTAGGGTTCTCCGAGCCCTTGCTCCATCGATACTTGAAAAGCCAATCAGAGGGGAACTGGTGATAGTCACCGAGCACGCCAACAGCTGTCTGACAAACGTATCGGATCACCTCGTACAGAGTCTTAGTCTGCGCGTCGGTGAGATGGTTGCATTTCTGCTCTGGGTGAATCCGGGACTGAAACAGCACCTCGTCACCGACCCAGTTTCCGATCCCGCTGATGAACTTCTGGTTGAGAAGCATAGCTTTGACCGCGGCGCGACTGGCGCGACACTTGGACTGGAAGTACGCAAGCGTAAACCTGTCCGTGTCTTGCACAGGGTCGGGGCCGTTTTCTTTGAGAGGAGCATGACTGCGAATGTGAGCGCCGGGGCAGTCCACGAGACGAACTCTAGCCAGGCGCCGATAGTCGGTGAAAGCCACTTCCACCGCGGGGTTGCAGGTGGTCGTGAGGTGGAATTTTGTGTATTTGGGAGGCCAGGTTTCGACGCGTGTGTCCGTGTCCCGGTAAAGGGACGAGTAGGATGTTTGGACGCCCCTAATCTGAAGCCAACCCGTCATGCCAAAATGCATCACCACATGCGGAGCCTTATCAAGGACGAGCCAGAATAGCTTGCCTTGCGACCCGGAGGAGATGACCTTCCTCCCGGTCAAGGCAGCCGAAACTGCGTCGCCGGTCGTGCCCGCCTTGCCAAAGACAATTTGGTCGTCGACAGCGGACGCGGTTCTGATGGTCTTGCCGACGAGATGTAGGCGCAGAAAGTGCACGATGCGCGCGACTGGGTTTGGGGTTAGTTATCATGATGATACAGAACAGAGAGTCATGAAAACTTACCTTCAGCTATCTCAGGCATGTTTGCGAGATGTGATGATCTCTGTCTAGAAGTCAAAGTGCAAGATGCGACTCGCGTGGTTCGGTGATTTGGAGACCAGCGAGTGCGAGTCCAACTACTTGAAAGCAGCTGAGGCATCAAAGATGTCAGATAAGACCAGATAGAGATACCAACAGTTGTTGGAAGCAGACTTACAAAGATGGAAGACTTCTTTTGATGTGGAGGTGACAGAGAGTTGATGCGATCACGAAGGTGAGAGTTGCATGTTATGGGAAAGGAAATTTTGGGAGAGACGCTCCAGGAAATATTGGGGGGTATATATACATGGGAGGGACAGCGTTGCGGCGGAACCAAATGTACACATATCTTTCACAGGTACGCTGCTGAAGATGCTCCAACAGGTGGTTGCGCCCCTGAAGCGTTGGCTCTTCGTCGGCGCGTCGTGCTCTTATGGACGAGGAGTCAAAGGCAAAACACGAATGCTCTGCGACTTCACGTGATGTGGTCAAAGCGCCCATGCTCCCGGCAGCTGGCCAAGCTTTCAAGCTTTCGACAGCCCCACTCTGCCGCAGCGGGTTTTTCCACTGCCCCACACAAACTGGGCAGCTTCAAAAACTCTGCGACTGCAACTTTTTTCTCTTTCTTCCTCTCCAACATCAGACCACAACCATCACAACCACCAATCTTCTTCTGGTAAGTCGCATTTGCTTCCGCAGACGCGCTTGACAACAGCAACATTTCTATGATGACACAACCAATACCGCAAACTAGAGTCTTTGACCTTCGGGTATGAAACTAGCATTGTCACGTCAGTCTGAACTTTGTTGCTGTTGTCGCCGCGCTGCAAACCACCGACCTTTGCAATCCGGACAGGACTGACCAGCAAGCAGTACTCTGGCCTCCTACGAGCCACAGTCGCGGATGGGAATCATAACACCTGATTGATGGGCATCATTTGCCTGGTGGAGGTCGATGGGGACACAGCACCACGATCGACCAACCGACCTTGAACAACTCTCACCACCGGTTGAGGCGTCAACGCTATCAGGTCAGTGCCCTTCGTCAACCTCACCTCTTCCCATCCTCGGATTTCATGATGTTCTTACTTTGCTTCGGCAAGTTGGAATTACCGACTGAAATATCTTTTAATGAAGACACAAATGGCTGTTTCTGATTGAATCCAACACTTCTTACCTTTTCACTTCTCCATTGGTTGTGCGGCTTTCAGACGCTAACATCCATCAAGCAGATCATCCATACCTGTCACTGAGTAAGTCGACAGCTTCTTTCACCAGCACTCGCTGTGCTTTATGATGAAACGGCACTGGGCTCCGAAATTCCATGAGCAAGACACGCCACTTTCGCGACAGGCCTAGAAAACCTCGTCCACTGATCAGCACATCCATCTCTGTCTTTTGCACACGCCGCATGGCAGAGAGTACGGGCTAACTCTCCTGGAAGTTGATCGGATTGTTTGATGCACCTGGATCGTTGGGGTTGTCTTTAGGGTAAGTTTTATCGACTTTTTTTTCCCCATCACACTTTTATGATGACTCTAGATGACGAGTCCTATACGGGATTCCCGATGCGGACAACCTATTTTTTATACCATTCATGCCTATCTGAAAATTACACACTTCCATCACCTTTTGAAGTTGCAGGAGTGAGCTTTCGCTGACCAACTTCAAGATTTTAAGACATTTCCTCTGACGATTGCTCGACACCCATTCGACCTCTTCTCATTTTCTGGTACGTTGTCGATGTCACCACTCCTCACCCCAGCACCACTGCACATTATGATGACATGACAAAAAAATTGACAAGCATATGTCGGAGCCCTTCAAGCGTTGATGATAAGGTCTATGTCTGAATGTTCCCATGCCACATCACCTTTTGACCACTTGCAGTGATCATTGGCTAACTGTCGCAGATTGTTTTGATCATGATGATGAGCACGATGGTCTGTTGTCCTTTTGACCCGATCCTCAACGTAAGCATCCACTTTCCTTCTTGATTACCACCACCCCCGACTTTTATGATGATTTAAAATATTATCACGACGGTCTACATAGCAATCGCTTTGATGAAATGGCCAGTGACATGGCAAGATTTCTGATAAAGTCATCCATCATCACCTTCTTGATGTTTGTCTTGTGAATGTTCATGGGCTAACTCGTCCAAGTGTTCAGCGTTGTTGCTTTACTGGGGCTCATTTTTCACTATAATCATGACTCTCTCGTCGTGATATGGGGAAGAATACTGGTTTTTGTATTGAGCCTAATATTCTGCTCTACAGTACCATATGGAAATTGTCGAGTTTAAAGTATTCTTGTTTCCCTCTGTCCTGTGCTCGGCCGTCTCCCGCTGTCGCCAGCTGTATCGCGTCCCCGGCAACGCGATTTACAACAGCAGCAACCCAGCCAACACGCTCACCATCAATAGCCCACGCGCGGGGTTGTCACAAGCAGAGGAGCCTCCACTGCTAGACGTTGGCTTCGCCGCGGAAAGTGACGTGGTAAATATTCCCGTCATGATCGTTGAGGTCGGCGCGGCCTCCTCCCCAGCAGCCTCACCATCACTCCTCTGCCCCGGCAACTGCCAATCACCGGCAGAATTATACCAAACCCCGTTGATCACGACCCCTTCTCCCCTCAACACGGCCCTCACAGACTCGTCATCGCACGTATCTGCCACCTTTCGGATATAGCACCTCGCATTGGGGACATTTGTCGCGAGCAGCTCCGGCCCTGTCTTGTCCGCTTCGGGGGTGCCCTTTGTGGCAAAGGAGGCAAGATTGACTTTTTCGCCTGTGCTGATTGAGGATCCGAGGATGATCCGGGAAAAGATTTCGAAAGTGGTTTCGGGCTGGGAGTGAGAGGGGAAGTGACCTGCGTCGTAGACGCGGGTGAAGGAGAGGTTGGAGAGCTGGCGGGTTGAGCCGCCGGTGTAGGTTTTGTTGGTGAGGAGGGGGGCGTAGCCGGTTGTATGAAAAGCATTATACCGCGAGAAGGATCCGGCGATAGAGAGAGAGGTTGATTGCCCGCTGTACCAGTTGCAGAGGTAGTCTCTGTCGCCGGACAGCAGGGCGATCCGAACCCCTTGGGATAGTAGCTCTTTGATGGCTACCAGCGGGTCGTCCCGAAGGGCGGGGAGGGGGGGAGGGAGATCGGTGAAGTTTATTGGTGAGCCAATAGCGGATAGAAACTTGGGTGAGTTGAGAAAGGTAAGATAAGTCTGGTTTGGCAAGGGGTCGAAGGAGGGGGAGGAGATGTCGTATAACGACCTCGAGGTGTGTTGCTGGTATGGGATTGTGAGGCCGTAGATGCACTCCCAGGCTTGGAGGCAGACGAGGAGGGTTTCGGAATTTGTCGAGGAGGAGGGGTGGCGGCAGGGGAGGAGGAGATCGGAGCAGCCGCGGCGGCGGTGGTAGGCTGACATGATGGGGGTGGTTTGATCTTGGGTTAGTAGCGGGAGGTGGAAGGTGTTGTTGAGGGCCATGGTTACGTAGGATTGGGCTTGGGACAAAGGGTCGAGGCCGCAGGGGGAGAGGAGGCCGAGGGAGGTGATTTTGATGGGGAGGGTGGTGGATAGGGTGGTGGATGAGGTGCTGGGATTTTGGGAGTGGAAGTAGGATGCGAGGAGGGCGGCGAGGGGGGCGGTGGTGCCTTTTGCGAAGAGGGATATCCCTGTGGAAGAGTTGGAGGGGGTGTTGTATTGGGGAAAAGTTGATAGGAAGGTCTGGAGGAGATGCCAGACTAGTCGGGCTGTCGCTGTGGTGTTGGCTGATGAGTTCAGCGGGTAAGGGGAAGAGAATGTGCCGTTCATGAAGGCCCAAGGGCTGCTCCATTTGGGGACGGGTTCAGGAGGAAAGATGGTTGTTGCGTTGTAGGAATCGTAGCTGCCGTTGGTGATGGGGGTGGTGTAGGAGAAGCCTACTGAGGGCTGCGGGCTTGGTTAATATCACGAACTCTGGCGCGGAGAGAATAAACTTTACAAGATCGATATACAGCATGTTTGATGCCCTGTCCCATCCCCATTCCCTTGCCTTGACCTCGAGGTGATCTTTATCCTTTTCTACCACCTCACAAGGACCATTCTCTTGCCAAAAGCCTGACATGGAGCTCCCTCCAGACCCGCCATTCAGCCATATTGTGAGTGTCGAAGTCGGCTCCCGTGCTTCGATAAACCAAAAGAACAAGCTGGTCGACCGACCCTCAACTGGGATGTTGACCCAGCCAGAGAACTGCTTCTGTGCGTCGAATGCCGTCTTACAGGCACCCTTCGGAACTTTGTAGGAAATGGTGATATTTGGGTCGTGTGCGGCGTTTAGTGTTGTCAAGTTGGCATCTTGTAAGGGGACAAACTGAGCAAGCGCAGTAACTAATAAGCACGCGCAAAACAACCTGACGCTGCGTGATAAGAGCATGGTAAGCTAGGTGCTACGATGCACTTAGACAACAGCCAAACAGACAAAAAAACGAAGCAAGGCTCTGCTGGCACTTTTGACCAAAACATCGTGCGCAATGCTTTAAGTGTGTGACCAAACCAGCAAGCACGACCTCCCACAGAATGGGATGGTCGCCTCTCACACCACTCCAGCCTTGTCGCCGGTTACCCAAAAAAAACACCAAACATGACCCCATTGTGAAACGCTTCCCCAACCATCACCATCAGACGGAGAGAATACTGATCACAAACCCCCTCACCACCCGGGTGACCAACCTCCACGTGGCCGTGAACCCATCCACGGAGAAAAAACTCCCCTAACCCAACCTAACATTCCTCCAAACCCTCAGACACTCCTGCAAGTCCAACGCCAGCGTCCCCTCGGCCAACCCAGTACAATCCTTAATCATGGCCACCAGCAATGTAGCATACGCCCACACCACCTGCTCCTCCCTTAACCTCTCCAAATCACTCTTTCTCATCCCCCCATTCTCGGCCCAGTTCTTCCACAGTTCCAGCATCGTGCACAGCTTCGCCGTAAACTGGCTGTCCAGCACCATTCGGTACAGCAACGTCCCAACCACTTCTTTCATTTCCATGTTGGGCGCTACTTTTTCTTTCGGGTTGCTGCTGGATTGGTTCTTGAGCCAGGTCAGGTTGTGCTCAGCGACGAGCTTGGTGTCCCATTTGGGGGATTGGAGCGCCTCGAGGAGTCGGGCCTCTTGACGAGCGGTTCGGAGACGTTGCTGATCTTTCACTGGGGGGCTGTGTTAGCTTTGTCAGGTAGGTGAGGTGAAAAGGGCGACATACTGTCTTGCATCCGCATTTCGTTCTCCCTTCTTACTCTCTCCATTGCTGCTTGCGCTCTCTGGGCAGGTGGTAATTTTGCCTCGGCTGCCATGGCAGCCCGTTGGTCCCTCATCCTCGCGGTAAACTTGTCCAAGTCAGCAGCGCCATCGTTGTATGTCGTCGCCCATTCTGGTGTGGCAGATTGCTCGACCACATTGAGCAAGACCAAAACACCACATGGTACAGTTTCCTTCCTCGAGAAAGTAAGAATATCATCCGGGATTTTGTACGACCAGAGGATCGTCTGCGAGGTAGTCCCATAAGCTGTCGCCGCAGAGGCAAACCATGCCCCCGATGAAGAAGATGACCGCACCCTAATATGATCAACAGGCAACGAGTCCAAGTTAATCGTGCTAGTCAACTGCGCCTCCTGCCTCAGCGCAGTAACAATCCCCTCCGTAGAAATCTGGCACGTAATCGGTATACTCGACTCCCCCGACTTTTTCTGTTGCGTCCTCGGCCTCGACGTCTCCGTCTCCGTCTTGTGAAGACTCTCACAAGAAGCATGCTCCCCTCCAGTAACAACCTCCTCCATGCTCTCCCCCCCTTCTTCCTCCCCCTCCACAACCCGCGGCGGCGGCGGAGGCGGCAACCGCACCCAATAAGGAGGCAAATCCCCCCAACTCCTCCTCGTCCACCCCCCCTCCCAATTCACCACCAAACTCAAATGCCCATCACTCCCATCCAAAGGCCCAACACTCAACGCCTTCTTCCCGCCCGGCCCCGTCATCAAAGTACACCCCACCGGCGTCCACAACCCACTCCCCCTCAACATCCTCCACCCATACCCATCCGGCACAGCCCCCAGATCCAACAAGTAACAAACCAGCTGGTCAAACTCCACCTCCACCTGCGGCTGCCTCAGCTGGTCGGCATATTCCACCCGTTGAGTGTTCAACCCAATGACGTTAGTCCTCCAGTTGAACGTCGTCCACGAACCCCCCGGGATGGAGGAGCGGTGCGAGGACACGCTCCAGTACTCCTGGCGGTCGGTGAAGCGGTCCATCGGGCGGACGGCGTAGCGGGGGAGCTCTACTTCGATGATCCTATTCACGACGTCGGAGCGGGTGAGGGCCGGGAGGCGGGAGTGCCGGAGCATGCGCTTGATGCGGGAGAGGGCGGCGAGGGTGACGGCTGTGTTGTAGAGGATGGGGAGGACGCCCAGGACGGCGAGGGGGACGCCGATGTAGGTTATTATGTCTGTTGCTGAGTGACTGCCGCCGCCGTTGTCGGATTCATGGAAGCCGGACATTGCGCAGAGTGAAAGAACGCGTGAAATTGAGGTCAAAGTAATAAGTGAGTGTGAAGATGGGATTGAAGATGATCTGCTTGGAGATTATTATACTAGAGAGTGTGAAACATCAACATATGATAGATGAAAAGGAGTGACAACAGGTGAGGTTATGTATAAATGTTGATGACAAGAAGTAAAAAAGCCTTCAAACGGTTGATCTTCATATTCATCGGCAAGCGAGGAACGAGACCTCAGCCGCACGCGGTACCAGTGTTCCATGGTGGCAGGGGGTCCTGCATGGCGGCGTCCAAGCAATTAGCTACCTAGGTAGCCGGAGAATCTGAGGTACCAGTGCGAGATGATCTTGGTTTCCAAAACCCTCTGACCTTGAGAAAGGCGAGTCGAGAAATATAGGAAATGTTGCCGGATCTTGGGCAAGATGATGAAAACGCATTCGCTGCGTTTGCAAGAGGTTGAAGGGTTGAAGGGTGGGAGTGAGAGATGTAAGCCAAAGAGAGGGTTAGGGTTGCGTGCCCGGTACAGTTGACTACTATGGAGGCAAACATCGTCATTCTCAAAACACAAGAATATACTCGTTCTATGTTCAAGGTGTTCTCCATTGAAAGCCAGATGTGCTTCATCAACATAACCAAAGCAATCCCAGATTATGTTACTCCCAGCACCACATCCGCCATCGTTGCATTTTACCATCTCATCAATATCCAAAAGAAACCACCCATTTCCCTCACCAATCCGGTGCACTCCCACACCCCCCTCCCCCAGCCATAACCTCCACCGGCCTCCTCATCCTATTCTCCGCATGCGGCTTCACCCCAGGCTTCTTCGCCCTATGTCCCTTCCAGTTCCCACCCGCCGGCGTTTCCAACCCCAGCTTCCTATCCAACTCCTTCAACTGTCCCTCTCCCGCCTCTCCACTCTTAACCATCCACTTCTTCGTCCCCAACTTCTCATCAAGCTCCTCAACCGGCGGCAGCTTAACATAAACCATCCCATCGTCTCTCTCCTCCACCTCGAAGGTAGCAATCGACAGCTCCGAATCATTCTTGCAAGCACCATTGGACAAGTCATAGTTCCTCTTATGGTGCGGACAAGAGACATACGGCGCCTCACCCGTGCTGGGAGAAGACGAGCTGGTCCCAACCAAACCATCAGACAGGATAAACGCCCGCTTGTGAGGGCACATCTGCTGAGTGCAGTAGTACTTCCCCTTGACTCTAAAGAGCGCGAGCTGGGTGTCGCCTCGCTTGACAGCGGCCGAGATGCCGTTGGGGATGTCATCCGCGCCCTTGAAGTACGATGACTCGAGCATCGGCTGCCAGGTCAACGATGACCACGTCTTGGACAGCCCGGCGAAATCTTCCTTGGCCGAGGCGTCGCTCGGCCAGAAAGTCGGGCGGAGCTGGCCGCGATCCGTGTCGAGCTCCATTGTCTCGACTGTCTCTGTCGTGTTGGCGAACTGCTTGAACTGCGCGGCAATCTCGGGGTTGTTGATCGCTTCGGCCCACTCGTCAAAGAAGCTGTCGACCAGTTCTTGCATCTGGGCTTCGAGGGAGGCGTTGAGACCGAGGCTGTCGTCGAGGATCACAGACCTGAGGTAGGCCAGACCGCCTGGGAGGGCTTCGAGCCAGCGAGCTGTGCGCTGGAGCTTGTCGGCCGTGCGGATGTAGAACATCAGGTAGCGGTCCAGAATGGGGATGACTTCAGTGGGCGGCACGTCTTTGGCGAGGAGCTCAGAATGTCTGGGCTTGGCACCGCCATTACCGCCCACGAAGATGTTGAAGCCTTTCTCGGTGGCGATGAGGCCGAAGCTGGGAGAGAATGTCAGAAATGGGATATTTAACGGAGAAGTGAAAAGACATACTCTTTGTTTTGAGCTTCGGCGCACTCGCGCACACAACCACTCACCCCACCCTTGATCTTGTGAGGAGCGCGAAGAGACTTGTATCGCTCCTCCAGGCGGACAGCCATGCCGACACTGTCACCGATGCCATAGCGACACCAAGTGGTACCTACGCAACTCTTGACTGTCCTGAGGGACTTGGCATAGGCGTGCCCAGACTCCATGCCAGCATCCACCAACCTCTTCCAGATGTCAATAAGATCCTGTTTCTTGGCACCAAACATGTCGATTCTTTGACCACCAGTGATTTTGGTGTACAGCTTATAGTCTCTCGCCACCTCTCCAATAACCACAAGCTTTTCAGGGGTAATCTCTCCAGCCGATACTCGAGGTACAACCGAGTATGTGCCGTTCCGCTGGATGTTGCCCAGATATCTGTCGTTGGTTTCCTGCAGACCATGATGAGGCTTATCCATGACGTGCTTGTTCCATAAGCTTGCAAAGATGCTGGCCAGCGTGGGCTTGCAGGCTTCGCACCCTATGCTCTCTGGGTCGACGCCGGCTTCCTTCATCACTTCCTGGAATGTGGTCAACCGCTTGACCATGATGATGTTGTAGAGATCAGCACGGCTGTAGTTGAAGTGAGGGCAGATGGTGTTCTTGACCTCATTGCCCATGTCCTTCATAGTCTTGTTGAAGATGGAGGTCACGAGAGGCATGCAACCTCCGCAGCCTGTGCCAGCTTTTGTGCAAGACTTGACCTCCCCGATGGACTTGCAGGTACCGTCCTTGACAGTGTTGACAACATCTGCTTTGGTGACATTGTGGCAACTGCAAATCTGGGTGTCATCGTCGAGATCATCACCATCGTCAGCACCCTCCTTCTTGGCACCAAGGATAAGCTGTGACGGTGGGACGTCGAGCTCTTTCTGGTTCTTGACTAAGGGGACAAGCTTGACGTAGTCGGATGTGTCACCGATCATCATGCCACCAAGGAGGTATTTGCCGTCCACCGAGAAAATGTACTTCTTGTAGATGTTGAGAAACGGGTCCTTGTAGGTCAAGGCCTTGACTGGGGCCGGAGGGGCGCCATTGGTGAGCACCTTGACTGCTGATAACGGCGAGGCGGGTTTCTTCTTTGCCTTTGCGGGAAGGTACTTTGGCCCGTCACGGTCGGCAAAGAAGTCTCCAAAGCTGGCAACCTCGACGCCTAGCAGCTTCAGCTTTGTGCTCAGGTCAGGGCGTTTGTATAATCGTGGCTGATGATGTTGTGATTGTGTGAGGTTGAATGTGAGAACGTCAGCCATTTCCACTCCCGGGGCAATCAGACCAAACGTCTGACCTTGCCAGCTTGCGCACTCTCCAATGGCGTATATGTCTGGATGGCTGGTCTGAAGGCTGTCATCAACGACGATGCCGCCGCCACGGTCAGCACACAGAATGCCTGATTGTCTGGCCAGCTCGTCTCTTGGTCGGACACCGATAGCGAAGCAAATGGTCGAGCACTCCATGTACTCGCCATCTTCAAAGTGAACACCCTTGACGCTGTTGTCCTCCGTCACCTCAATCCTGCCCACTCTCTTGCTGAGCAAAACATCAGCACCGAGGCTTCGCACTTGTTCCACAACCATGCCGCCTGCGTCAGCGTCCAGTTGCCGGCTGAGAACCCATCGATTGCGCTCAATGACTTTGACCTTCTCGAAGCATCCCAAGTCCATCATAGCCTTGGCAGCTTCGAGTCCCAACAAGCCACCTCCTACTACGGCACCAACTGTGCCCTTTTGGTTCGCTGAGAAAGCAATGAGCTTCTCCAGGTCCTCGACAGTCCTGTAAACAAAGACGCCCTTGGCGTCATGACCGGGCGTGTGTTTTGGCAGCACGGCATCGGAGCCAGTAGCCAGAACCAAGATGTCGTAACTGACTTCGTCACCATTTGCGCAGGTTATGGTCTTTCTGTTTGGGTGGATTTCGGTGACTTTGGTGTTCAGGTGGTAGCTGAGAGCTCCGTCAGGTACAGCTGTGTACTGCAGCATTGGCGTCAGTGTTGCTCATGGACGTCAAGAGCAGAGACATACCCATTCTAGTGGATTCAGGTACAAGTTCTCAATCTTGCGATGCTCAAAGAAGCTGGTCAAGCCAACTCTGTTGTATGCCAAATGCGGCTCTTCGCCAACTACTACAACGTTGTACTCGCGCGATCTGGCATCGAGTTTGAGGAGTTTCTCTCTGTTGGGAGGTTAGAGATATCCGCATTCCAGGGACTTGAACTGACTCATTGCTCACATGAAGCTGATGCCCACCATCCCCAGACCAACAACAACAATCTTCTTGCGCCCGACTGCCATTGTGGGCAGGCTGTGAGGAGGATTGTCCAGAATGGGGGTTATCGAAAGAGAAACAAGCCAGTTGAACAATGACAAGATAAGACGGGAGTCGTAGAGAAGCCAACCCCGAGTCAATCAAGGCTGGCGAGGCTGGATCAATGTCGTCAAAAAGCTAACCAGGAGAACATCAGAGGAAAGATAAGTGATAAAAAGGAGAGGAACAAGAAAGACGGGATGGTAGACATGGTCTATCATGGTGGCACTGCCATCGTCAGAGCATCTGGCCGGACACACAGCGAACGATATCTAATCTCTCATCAAGGTAGGCATTCAGAGGCAATCAAGGAAATGCACATCTCCGGAGCCGTGCAGGTTGGTGTGTGAAGACGGCCGCGGACAGGCCCCAGGGGCGATTCATGACCATTTGGTGTACCAATGAGCATAGTGCAATATGTAATGACGCATGAAAGGCACCGGAGAAGCAGCAGCCACTTCGTTCAGCGACCGTGGGACTCCTCTGCTTTTGCGGATTCCTAGGTAGACGTTGCAGCGCGGGAGATGGTGATCTTTGATAGCGGATATCAGTGCAATGATAACACTTATCGGGCCAATCAGGTGCCGCAGATTCCAACTTGTATCCAATGTGGAAGGAAGACACCCGCGGAGATAGAGGCAGGCACGGGGATGGTTCGGGGTGGACCAAGAGATTAGAGTTTTCTGCCTGTGTTTGTTTGACTTGACTCGCCGGAACTAATAATTGATCTGGGCTGTCTTTTGCAACGGCTTTTCCTTGACATCTCCGAACACACAAAACCCCCACTGACCCCTCGCCATCCTCACCGAATCCTCTTTAACGGTCTCGATCTACACTCTCCCCAGTGGCAATCCGGCCCCTGAAAAGAACGTAACTATCTATGGCTAGCTAAGGTTCATTACTTGCCTTCAGAAAGGATGAGTCCTCAGAGTTGACGTTGCATGTCATACACGGCCCCACTCGGCCCCATTGCTGCGAGAGCGCCGTGCTTGGCATCTTCCACGCCGGCTTGGTGTTGACATCGGCGCCGGCTTGGCAACCCTGTACTGAGGGCCGTTGAGATGCGACCATGTTACTTCAACTTGACACAAGGCCAAACTTCAATGGGAAAGACTAATTTTTTCTGTGCCACGCCTCTATTGAGGCTCAATCGACGCCACACATTGCAAGTAATGAGTTGGGGGTTAATGCTCAAGCAAACAATCTAGCCAGCACGGAAACCTTACGCAAGCTTTCTACCCATCATGACAAAACTCACAAGCAAACTACCTCCCAGAACAATATCACCCCAAAGATTCGGATACAGTTGAGCGTCGGGGGAGCTCTTGGTGCGGCTGGGCATGGTGACCCGATCGTAATGGGCCTACGGCGAAACCCATTCAGAGCTTCGTCCATCCTCTAAGCAAAGGACTGTAGCATTTGGTCAACTGGTATTGTTTAGTTTGGGGGCCAGAGCTTTGGAAAGATGTGATCTTAGTCAGTATTGTAGACTATCTGATCTTTGGTGAGCTTACAGGAAAAAGTTGAGAGGCTGCCATGATGCTATTCCTCACTTCCAACTTCATATGCAAGACTAACCTGGTTACAAGGACAGTAGCAGACGCGATTACTGAGAAGAGTTAGCAGGCTCTACCGGATGCCAAGATACAATCGTTCATTTAACCACCCAGGTCGCAGGTATCATGGTACCCCAAACTTTCCGGGGCAGAGCACAACCCACAACGTTACTTGGGCCTTAGGCTTGGTCATCTCTGGTCAACGACACCTTCGGAGTCTTTAGCCTCATCATCAGCTTCACTTACTTACGCACTGATGTATGAACTCCAGTGGACCTCCGGCCTTACCTGTGTTAGTATTTAGATGATGACTTCTTCAAGCACCTACAAGTCCCTCTGAGCCATCTTTACGGTACGGCAGTTGGCAAAGATCGAACCGCTATGGGTCTGTTTCATGATAAACGAGAAGACGGCGACATCATCGTGCCAGCATCTTGCTTTGCTGTGTGTGGTATGGTTGATAAACCTCATTCTCGTCAAAGCACACGGAGATTTTGACTGATGAATTGACAGGCGACGCTCGTACCGAGGCCCAACGCACTGGGACCAAGCCAGAACTTTGCACGGCAGGTTCGGCATTCCGGGACTTATATGAAGCCTGCAGGCTTTGCGTTGTGTATTTCCAAGGAAAATCACAGCCAGACACGATCATCCTACCCAAATTCCAGCACTACATCGACTGTTGCACAGCACTTGTCGGTCTTCCTCCACTCCCCCCTTCCCCTTCGATAAACACCAGTTCTACCACAACCAGACCATCGCCAGCAACGACTTACCTAGAACATTCACCTACAATTTTGGCTGTCATAACATCCACAAGCACGCTTCCACAGACGACATCCCAAGGTTCTGAACCCTCCGACATAAGCCAACCCATTTCTATCCCAACTCCCATCACCACAACATCCTGCCTGTCTCCCACCTTAAGCCCGGCACCAACGACTCCAATAACAACAAGTGAGTCTGCTCATCGCAGTCATCTTACAATTTTGCTAATGAAAAACAAAACAAAAACAGATATACCAACCCCCGAAAAAAACACTCCCATCAGCAACAACAACAACAACAACAACACGATCACAATAAGCACAGTGATCAGCATAATAGTCGGCGTCCTACTCTTGTTCTTACAGGGGCTGGCATACTGGAGCCGCCGAGTCAAAATGACAGCACTACTCAATCCCCTCGTCAGCAGCAGCAACCAGAGCTACTAGGAGGAAGGCCAGTCCTCTTCCTGAATCCCCAGGGCTCGCTTCAAGAGATGGGCGAACACCATGGTTATGACGAACTGGACGTGCCGAGGGTGTGGTATGAGCTCGATGCACGCTCACTGAGGAGCTTGAATAGGAGCTTCAAGTGGGCGATGAGCGGTGCGAGGTCACCACGGGGTAATGGTGGTCAAAATGGGGGCGATATAGCACCGGAGGTTGGCGTTAGAGAAGGGGTGTAAGAAGGGAGATGCCGTATTTTTTGCTGGACATGTCATATGCGTTGATCTTTATCGAATTCATGGCCCATGCACGAAGTATCATAATTAATGCAGACAAATATGCAACAACAACAAAACTCAGGGTATTATTAGGCTTCTCTCAACTCATGAAACAAAAACAGCAAGCAACAATGACAATCTCCCGCCCAGGAACAAACATCACTCCCTCGAGAACATGGTATACCCCTCCTCATCCTCATACCCCTCCACGCTCCAAACTCCCTCCTCCCCAACTCCATCAACCCAACTCCCAGCCACCCTCCTCCCAACAGAACCACCACCCTGAAGATCCCCCTAAGCCTTCACGGCAGCCTTCTCATCCGCCGCCGCAGGTGCAGCAGCAGGAGCAGCAGCAGCAGGCGCAACCCCCGCCTCCTGAGCCTTAGCATCCGCCGCCGCCGAGGTGCTCGCCTCGGGAACAGCCACAACCGGTTTCGGCTTCTCCTCCGCACCAGTAACCCCCTGCGTCGCGGGCGCAGCCGCCGCCTCGACCGGATTGACCTTCACCTCTTCCGCCGGACTCGGCACCGTCGGGCTCCCCGGCGTAGCCCCCGCCACCTTCTTGATAACCTCAAACCACTTCATCGCCTCGGCCGGACTGTGCGCCTTGAAGCTCAACTCGCTGCTCCCCGACAACTTGCCCCCCAACCCACCACTCTTGTCCTTCCCCTTGACGTTAAACTTCTCCCCGGCCGGCAAACCAATAATCGCATCCGGCAAGTAAATACTCAACTCCGGCGTCGGGTCCTTCCTGTAGTTATCATCATCCTTGAACTCGTGCAAGAACTTGGCCGGGGTAACCACATAGTAACCCGTGGAATACCCCCAGCTGAGCTTATTCCTACTCTTCCTCTCCAAGCTCCCCTCAATCAGCGCCTTGGTCGAAGCATGATTCTGATTCGGGAATTGAATCGCCTCCACTGTCCTAGGCCCCTCCGCCGGATCAACCAGCTTATCCCCCGACCTCTTGACAAACCCCTTCCACTCAAAATCGGGCGGGATCCTCTGCGCAGAACCAAGCATGTCCGCATACAGCGCCTGCACCTTCAGCGCCTGGCCCCCAACAAAGCTGTTAAACGCCTCCATGGCCTGCTGCACCGTCCCGATGACGTGCGCCTCAAACTCCTGAAAGTTCGCCTGCACAGCAATCAGATCGTTACGCTGATTGTTCTCCTCCTGGACCTGCTTGTTCAGCCTGTGCAGCACGCCCCGCTGGATGACATACGGGTCGTCGTTAGGGTGGTGCTTGGCCCCGCTAGACTCAAAAGCAGCCGTGTGCTGGCCCAGGAGCTCAATGTGCTTCTGGGTCGTGTTGCGCGCCTTTTCGACTTCCTTGGCGCCCTTTTCCGCGCCGTGGGCGAGCTCCTTGGCCTTGTGCTTGATTTCCTTGTGGAGGCGCTCGAGCACGGGCAGGACGGAGCCCTTGATGGATTTCTCCGTCTCGGCGTTGGTGTTGATCAGGGCTTGGGTGTTGACGCGCATGTTTTCAAAGAAGCCGGCGACGCCGCCGAGGGATTGATCAAAGTGCTCGCCTTCGCGGAGGGGTTTGGAGATGGTCTGATGATGGGGAGGGCAGGTTAGTTGCGGTCTAGGAAAGCTGTAGAAATAACGGGGGATTCGTCGCACCTTCAAAACCCTCTCATACTCCTTGGACGAGTTTTTGTGCACCTTCTCGACCGCCTCGACGTACTCCTCGAGGTAACCGACAGCATGCTTCCATGCCTGCAACCTCTGCGCAAGGAGGCCGGCCGTCTAAATCGCAAACATGTCAGTATATTCCCCCTGATACCATCTGCCCTAAAACGAGCCACTCACGGTGTTGGGATCGTGCTCAGGAACAGCCTCGTCACTAAGGTTGCTCGCAAGCGTGCTCTGCCTCGAGGGCTCAACAGGCGAAGTAACAGTAGACATTGTCGCTGGTTCTTCCCGAATAACACTACTCTCTGCTGGTGCTGTGGTAGTCTGTAACTTCTCCGGTTGCTGCTGAGCGGAGGCGGAAGAGGCAGTGGCGGACGTCTCTGGTTTGCGGAGAGAATGTCCTCTCGAAAGTCGCTTGAAATGCATCGAGAGATAAAGTAAAATAAAAATAAAAAGGAAGCGGTGTTGGGGTGGGTAGGTTGTTGGGCCTGGAGCCGGGGGGACGGGAGGGGGAGGGATCGAGTTTAACAAGTGTGGAGAAACACAAGATTGGATGGTTGGCTGTTGGTGGTAAGGGTCCCTTTCCTTTTTCCTAGGATCCTAAAATGAAAAAAACAAAAGACAAGAGGTTCGTCCCGAACTACAAGCCCGTGCAGCAGCAGCTAGAAGTAAAGATATAGAGGCTTTTACACTAACCAAACAAGTATGAGGTCATTGAAACCAAACCACAGGTCATAAGATCAACACCACCTACCGCGCCAGCCAGCAGCAGTAGGTATTTGTATTATTATTCCCTTCACCCAATCCACACACACAACAACCAGCACACCAGCGCCTCTTGCGTAGCAGCAGCAGCAGCAAACAACCCCTCCTCTCCTCTCCTCCCTGCCAAGAGATCGAGCAAAAGTGGATCCTCTCTATCGACCAACGCCGATCTCAATTGGTCCCGCCAAGACGCAACCATCAAATCCCATCATGCCATGACGTAACTCCACTTTCCAGCCAAAAAGCTGCCCCACATCAACAGCAAAACCCTTGTCCAGCTGGCAGATGCGTGAAGGCATCGTGGACCATGTCTCGTTTAAACAAAAAAATCAGCTCGCCATGGGAGACAATATCATGCGCATGGTTTGGTTTTTTTTCCTTCTCTTTGGTCGCCGTTGAATAGCTCGGCCGACCGTTGCAGATGGAAGTTATAGCTCAGCTGGGTTTTTTTTTCCAATCTTTTAATAAAAAAAGGGTCCAATTGCATGACGTAGCCTCATCAGTGAACAAACAATCGGGCCTCCATGCTACTGCAAGCAAACCAACACCATCACCCAAAGTGGGAATAGCTATCTCTGTTCTCAAGAGTGGTAGATCGATCGCCAATGCTCCCGTCTTGAAAACGTCCGCAGCTGAGCTGAGCTTATGAAATGCCAATCTGCACCGGCTTTCGGCTTATCCGACTCCATTGCATATCTTCTTGTGTGAGGCCTCTTTAGGCAACTTCCCCCATGTTTCAAGCCCACAACACATTTCTTGTCTCACGATACACCACACATCTGTGTTCCAGATGCTATCCCAAATGTCTAGAACCCAGTCGATCGTTTCCTCCCTAGACATGTACTGTCCTACACGACATCTCACTACGTACAAACCGCCAGATACTCCTCCCATCTCATCTCTTCGGCCTCAATCTCACAACCAGCACCAGTCACAAGCAAATACTCCATTTACTGGCTATTCTTTGGTCTAGATTCATCTGCTGACTTTTGACTATAGGGGGTATCGAAGGTATAAAGTAGCAACTGGTTCAGATGATGTCCTCTTCATCAATCCCCAAACCGAAAACACAGAGCGCCTCAAATAATCCGCTGCCCGATCCTCAATCTCTTTGATCGAGCCCTCGAACCCAGCCCACCACCAAAAGGAAAAAAGAGAAGAGAATGACCGTCAACTCCAAAACAAACATGAGACCTCCTCTTGATGTCAGTTCCCATCGCAAATGTGCCGCCTTTGGCAATCCCAAACGCCAACGACAGGTTGCCTCCATTACCCCCCTCCATGTGTGTCAATATCCCCCCATGCATTGGTCATTAAAACGCCTATTAAAAAAAAAAAAGCTGCTCTTTGCAGCTGCCGAATGCCCTTTGCTGTCCACCAGCCCTGGACTCCAGGCAAAAGCAACAGAACAGACATTTATAATACAAAGGAAACCTCAATTTCCATCTCCATTCAGAACGCCCCTTATGCTTCATCAGGGTGTGCGTGCCGACGAGCTATTGGACCTCTAGGCCAAGCCGCGTTGGGCACGGAGAAGGTGAAGCCGTCGATGCTCATCGCCCTCCCCGTGCAGCGAGTGGTGTGGGTACAATCCCACCGACAATTGCCGCCAGCGGATGGGTGATGTTCTGCGTGTCCCAGGCCGACTCTGCGGGTTCATGTCGTCATCCTGAGTCGACGACTCTTGAGGGACCTCGGCGATGCTTCCCAGGAACGAGTTGTCGGACCGGGTGAGTTCAGTAGCTCTCAACGGCGGCGATCGTTCCGGCGAACCTGGTTGAGGTGTGCTCGGTACGCTCGTCGCCGTTTCGTAGTCTGGGAGAACATTGTACGCCAGCGGCCGGACTGGTGTCTTGACGGCTGTCTGGTAACTAGGAACCTTGCTGAGCTCCTCAAGCTCTGCATAGTCGAGGTGCTGCAATGCAGATTCGTCGTCGTCACTGTTGTGCCGAGTAAGCGGTAATGACGGCGGCGCCGACTGCTCATCGGTACGGGCATCCTCGGTATCAAGTTCTGATGCGTAGCTGGGCATGTGGCGTGCCGATTCCGCAGCCCGCATCGTTGGCCATGACTGATTACGATTGTGCTGATTAAGCTGAGTCTGCAACCTAGCAGTGAGCTGGTTGGCACTGAATGGCACACCATTAACGGGACTGCTGGCACCATGATAGAGTGCATTCAGATTCTCCACGGAGCTGGCGCGCGACCTTCCATAGATTGGGCTATTAACAGCCGACAGGCCACCAGCTGGTGTCTGTAGCCCGGTTGGATCCATATCCTCGTACAGCTGGTCAAGAACATGCTCGCCGTAGCCTGGTGGTGCTATCGCGGCTACTTGCAGGGACGGTGTTCCGACCGGTACTTGTCGTACCAGATTCCCGTCCTCGTCCAGTGGCATATTTGGCGATATGAAAATGGTTACCGGCAGCGTCGCCCTAAGCTCCGAAATGTGACCGTCGGGATTCTTCAAAGCCACAACCAACTTCAGCTTGTGTCGGACTTTGATGCCCTTGGTGTTGACATCCTGCAAGCATTTCGAAAGTTTCTTCGGCAGGTTAAGCGAAGTGTTGAGAACCCAGCCCTCCTGCCCGCTATCGTTGATCATGTCCTGCCAATGCTCCTCGCGCGTGATGGGAAGTCGCCATGTCTCGATTTCTCTTTCTTTCCGGTATTCCTTAACCGAAGAGGCACCCGACGACCTAGTCGAGTGAAGCACAATGTCATGGACCTCGACCAGCTTCACGGTCATGTCGCCTAACTCCAGTCCCTTCAGTAATGGGGTAAATCTCGTCTCTAGAGGGATGCATGTGCCGAAGACCACCGCCTTCTGAGGGATCAGAATCGAGTAATCTATCTTGTTGGGCCAGATATTTTCCACACTCATCGCATGTAGAAACTCGAGGGCGGAGGATTCGAGGGTTCGGATGATGCGTAGCCGTTTGTAAGCGCTCAAATCGGATGCAAACTTGCCCCGCACTACTGATGCCTTCAGTCTGTAAGTGATGCTGGCCTCACGCAAGCCCTCCACACTCTCCGTGGTATTACCAGGGAGCATGACTTGAAAGGGCCATTCGTAATTGCCAGGGCCTAGCGTGGTGCCCCTCGAATGATGTGTGTCGCCAGTCGGAATATGGTTGGAAGCGCCGACTCCAGCAAATGGTCGCCATCGGTGCTCGTAGAAGTTCACAGTCTTATCGATTCTGTGATGGTTAATTCCTGTCGCGGTTACTCTGGGATCGGTCCAACTACTCAACAGCGTCAGTGACTTGTACTTTGGTGCTTTCTCTGGCCGAATCCCATACCCATAGTGGATTGTGCCGGTCAATTTCAAGTTGATCGTCTCGACCTTTAATGGCGCAGACAAGCAAAGCACGACTGTTCCTTTGAGCAGTTGGCCAGAGGCCTCATGATCGTTACCGCGAAAGACAATAAAGTCGTTCTCGAGCCTGTGTTCCAGATTACCCGGTCAGTGGTTGTCATGCAAATAACCGAGGGTGTTCCAAAAATAAAACAAAAAAATAGCTTACCTGATGTCGAACAGCGTACAGGCATTCTTCTTGGATGTGGAAAGGGTGAATAGAGGCATCTCTCAGATATGTACCCAAACTGTCGAGGAGAGAGAGAGCAGTAGAAAATTAAGTGGAGGAGGAGAGGCCCGGTCGGGTAGAGATATGGTCTAGAGCAGTCATCTACCCCGACTGCTTCTGGCGTGTCGTATGTAGGGGAGTGGTGTTCGGGGGCGGTGTTACGGCACGATGCGGCGAAGGCTCGCTTCGAAGTTGGTAAGATTTGGAAAGGTGCCTGCTAAGTCTAGGTACTAGATAGGCGAACGGTGAATGGCAGCGAATGGCGTGATTACGGGTCGTGTTTGTAGGTACGAGGTAGGAGGGACGGAGTGAAATTGAGAAGAAAAGCAACCAGGAAGAATACAGAGGCGTATTATTTTCGCAATTGTTCAAGAGTATGAGCTGGAAAGCATCGGGCCACTGGGACGGGATTGGAGAGCACCGTGGCCGGGGGCCGGCGATCAGGGAGTCAGGTACAAGCCTGCATGTCCCACAACAAAGAGACGCTTTGCGAGGTACTTGGAGGTACCTGAATAGTGCTGAGCCACAAAGGGTGCGCACCCACCAACCACCACCGCAACCATCCCACACAGACAACAGCAAGCGAGACCCGGCTCATGCACGCTCCGTTGATCCAGACAAATCACGATAGGGAACCGCCGAAGCAGAATCCCAATAATAGGTAAGCCCCAAGAAATGTAGTGTCCGTCTCCGTAGGTATGCATTATGCCAGCACTTCACTTCCATCTCATGTTACCTACTGCTGTTTGCAGCATGGAACGGGCAAGCTGACGAGGACGTTTATGGCACCGCCTCATGGCATTGGATTCAGAACGAAGCCGGAGCTACCGGCAGCCCGGGGCAGGCAGTCACCTCAACGGCCTGCCATCCCACTGATAAAAGCAAAACTTACTCCTCATCCACGTTTTCCAGTGGGGGCCTGTGAGTCGTGCGATGGCGGATCACGAAAGGCCGCATTGTTCAACATGGCACGTCAGAGGGTGAGGTTTGTAAAGTGGTGGGGTCTAGCGTGGGGTGTGCCAAGTGGCCTGCCAAAACGCCATCTCAAGCTTGACCGCTCTTAAAATCACAAGTACGTAAAGTTTCCATTTCCAAAACGCCCTCTGCTTTCATCTCTCTTTGTCCACGCTGTCGCAATGTGACACCAATTGCTCAGCTGGCTTTGTGCCGTCAACGCTGCCAATGTTTCATTGACCAAAAATGGATGGTCGTAGAGAAACCAAATCCCTGCGTGAATCAAGCCACAGTGAGATTCGACAAGGTTGATTGGCCCCCACCAAAATGCGTCTAGAAAACTGCCTAACTGGGCAGGATCACATCTTCAACTTTCACTTTGACGTGGACAAACCTGGCCGCCTTGGGCAGGCGCTCTCCCAGACATTGGCGGGTAATTCGCCGAGGTGACTTCCTGACAGCCTTGTGAATATGGAATTTGGGGCTGGCGGCCACGATGATACCTCTTGCCTGCTCGACCGGGCGTGGAGTACTGTGATTGAGCCTCGAGACGGCATCGGCTGGGTTCCCTTCTCAATGCAGGAGGTCGGCACCCGAAGGACCCCAACGCGAAGGGCCACGGCATGAACCTGCTGACTGGCTGCTCTGCAGGATGTCAAATGTGACACCTCTGTGACTTGCTTGGCCGTGAAGGGACAAGCTCATGATGAGGCCACACAGATGCAGGGATAGCGTGGACTCTTCCGTTTGGATGCCGGGAATCAAGAACGCCAAGCGTCCAGACTCCCGAATCCGGACCCCACCGATAACGGCGATAAGAACAACAGAGGCTTCGGAGCTTGAGGCGTTGAGTCAATCTGATTGGTTGGTAAAATCCGGTTTTCCCCAAACCTCAGTCAAGCCATCATCACTGATAACGACATTTTGCCCACCATGTTCGCGCTCTGACGACGTAGTGTAGTTATGAAGTCACAGATTTCCATGTTTGCCGCCAGATCCCACCCTACACTGTCAACACGAAGGATGGTTCATCGACTTCGACAACACCATTGGGCCCTCACCTTCGGATAAAGAATTTCACCATCAAAGAATGGCCGAGGAAATCTGCAAAATTACTCAACTTGTTACGTCCGCCTGCTGCCTCGGCCCACAAACCTAAGCCCTCACCGCAAGTCCTACCATGGGTTGTCGCCCAGTTTCTTGTTGATATCAAAAATCCCTAGGGCCAAAGTGGGTTTCCGCCAACGATGAAGCTATCGCGCCACGATCGATTGGGCCCAAGGGTATCCCAGACTGAGGCTTTTCTCGGCGCTCCCGCCATCAGCCTTATCGCGAACACACAGCCCATCCGTCTACTTGGTGTCTGTCTAGTAGCATAGCGCGCGTCCTAATGCGAGTGTGGTCTGGACCTGTCAATAATGCCATCATAAGAAGCTCCCGAAGCCCCCAGGCTCTGTCCACCATCAACAAAATCAACCAGGCAAGGCGAAACGGTCGGACTTTAGATATCAACATCAACCCACAAACCCCAACGGTGAGCAGAGGCCGCGGACGTCTTGCGGAAAGAACCGGTTGCTGCGTATCAAGGTTTGAGCGACCGTTTATTTTATTTTTCTCATGTGTTTCTCCTTCTAGAAGCTTGTCTCCATAAAGGGAAAACATCAGACGATACCCCTCACCAAAGTCCATGTCATGGCTCTGTACAGAACGATACATCGACTGATCCTTGCGTCGATCTCGATGACACACGTTCAAGCCACACCCTCCAACTCACTGAACCTTTTCTGGAGGCAAGCCGGGCATGGGCATGTAACTGGGATCATACCGACAATGCCAACCTCATCCCGTGTCAGTCCCGCACGGCGAAGGTGCATTTTTCACATGCTTCGTCAACCACATGCATGAAAGATCCGTTTCTACTGGCTTGAAAATCCCCTGGCAAAGAGGAAAAAATTAGACGGATGGATACCACTCAACAAGCATTGCAAGAACTCCACAAACGGCTGAGGGAATAACTCTTGTCCCCCGGCAACGGGATTTGCACCCACTCTTCATTTTTGTCATGAAAACTTTTCGCCACATCACGGCACTCGATGATACTCTTGTGCATACTGCATGCAGACGAGCCGCGCCTTCGCAGTAGTTATAGCAGACTCACAAGCTTCAACAGGAATAACTTACAGAGGAATAACTTACAGGAAAAGTATACCCCTCTTCCTCGGCCACTCGGGTTCCACTTGAAAACGCGAGGTTCCCTCGTAGTTATCGTATTCGATATTATTCGGTCTCTTGCCGAATCTTGCATCCATCAAGCTGCAGGAACGCGATCCACACACAAAAGATAGTGTCGGGAGTGAGCCCGATAGGGCAGAGCCAATGTGTGTCAAGGCTTGGAAAGGGCCGAGATCATATATGTATAATTTATGATCGTCCCCCACCCTCAACTTCAAACCTTCCGAGACTGTGATACTGTTTGATGTCATAAACCAATCCGACTGTAAACCACGATAGTTGAGCCATCACATGACGTGGGTGATATGTATAATCACCAATTAATCACAAACACAGCATTTAATAAGTTTACCATATCCATGACTCCATGACTGTCTCTGGCTTGATTGGTGGTTACATGCAGACCCACACAGTCCATAGTCGTCCTCCTGGGTGCCATCGTGTTACCACATCGTGTGTCAATAAACCACCCTAGAACCATCATATTCATAATATGACAACCGACCATCAAGAATACGGTAGCTCACGAACCTCACGTTCTGACTCACTTCCAAACGATATCATGGTCCAATTTCCATGATCATATTGATAACATAACAACCAAACGCAACCACATTACACAACCACACACAAAAATACGAAAGCCTAATGGCCTTCAAATTGTGACTCACTCTCAAACAAGTCTATCGTAAAAGATATACAAGCTCTCACAAAACGCTGAATAAAAAAACCATAACTGTCACCTGCACGTAAACGATACTCGTCACCTCTTATCCCACAGTCTCAAATGCACATTCACCCAACCACACGCTCACTCAACCTTGTTCTCCTGCTCCCCCAAAGGCGTCAACTCGGCCGGCCTACTCCAGGTCCTGATGTGCCCGGACTTGCAGCTGGTGATAATCGCATCCCTCGTAAACTCCAACCAGCAAAGCGGATCGTCATCAATAATTTTGCTCTGTCCCACACACAGTCAGTTAATCTTCACACCCCTGTGAAATCTCACCCCTTCTCCCACAGCAAACTCACCAAAACAGGCGGCAAAACCGCCGTACTAGCCCTCGGCTCAACCGCCCTAGGCCTCACCTCCCCCTTCCTCAACCCCCCGCCCTTCCCCCTATCCCCCTCCCCATCCCAATTCAACCCCCCCCTCCCTAACCGTCTCCCCCCCCGACAACCCCGAATTGCTCCTCCCCCTACTACTACCCTCCCCCAGCGGCCTCCCCCCAACAACCCCATGCGTCGTGCTCCCCACCCTAGGCCGAATCAACATCCCCAAGCTAAAATCCCACAAGCAAACCCTCCCATCCTCCCCCACACTCCCAAACCTGTAATTCCTCCCCGCCCCCGTCGTCGTCTCGTCAAGATCGCACCTCCACAAATCAAACTTCACCCCCGTCACCCAGCTGTGATGCCCCTGACACCTTGCCACCAAATGCCCTTGCGTCGTCCCGTTCACACCAGGAGACCAGATGCTCACCAAATCGTCCTGCCCCCCCGTGAGCACATACCTCCCGTCCGGGCTCCACGTCACGCACGTCAGACCACCATAGTACGAGTAAAACAGGTCCAGCAGTGTTTCGGACAGATAATCAATTATCCGGAGGGAGCCATCTTCTGATACTACCGCCAGGTGGCGGTTGTCTGGACTGAAGGCAAAGGCGTTGATGCGCTGGTTGGAAAGTTTCCAGACGCTCACCGGGTTCACTTTTTGGTTTTTGGAATGCACAGACTTTTGGATGTGGATTTTGTGAATAACGCTGCTGGTGGTGGTCTTGTTGTTTGATGACGAGGTTGAGGAGGTGGGCCGGGGCAAGGGAGGAGCATCGCTGCTTGATCGGACGGCCGTTGAAGGTGAGGAGAGAGGGGTGCCCTCATCTTCGGGGGAGAAGATGGCGTCTTCTTTTTCCTTGTCGTAAACGATGAGGGTGCCGTCCATGTGAGCTGCCAGAAACAAGTTCTCCGAATTGGGAATCCAGGCTATGCAGGAGACGGGGGTCGAGTTGATTATCCCCTATCACAGCAACATATCAGTACAAGGGGACAGGAAAAAGGGGGGAGTAAGTACGTTTTTGTTCAACCTCGTATACCGCTGAGAGATGGGCTCCCACCAAATAATCTCCCCCGTCGAAAACCCCATCACCACATCAACATGCGCCGCGCTCTTGGTCACCCTGTTCACATCATGAGACAAGCAATGCGCCTTTGTAAACAAAATCTTGGTCAGATACTCCGCCTTGGTCGGGGACGACAAGTCCAGCCACTGAAAAGCCCTATTCACATTGGCAAAGGCAAACATCCCGTCCCTGGCTCTCTCCTGGAGCTTCTTGCTCAGGGTCTCGTGGTTGATCACCCTCGAGATGAACGACGAGTTGCTTTTCGTCATGTTGTTCTTTGGTTTCCTGCGCTTGTTGGAGTCTTTGGTTGGGGTAGGGGTGAGGAGGGTGTTGCCCTCGCCAAAGGCGGGAGCGTTGGAGCCAAAGTGACCGCCTCCGCCATCGCTAGAGTTGAGACGGCCTCCGTCGCTGGTGCTCTCGCGGACTTCGGTGGAGGACTGGCTTCGCTCGTCGGGGTGCTCTTGGATGCTGCCTGAGACGCCGTCGGAGCGGGAGTTGGACCGGTAAAAGGAAGGCGGTAGCGGGCCGACGTCGATGTTGATGAGGGAGAGCTGGGTCCCGGCTGTGGCAGGCTGAGGTGCCGTCGAGAGGGGATTCGGGTTCTGAATGGGAGCCTCGGATGGATGCGGTGGCGGTGTCGCGAGATGCAGGTCCTCTTTCAAGACGTAGAGACCCTCGCCGACGAGAAACTGATATTCGGGCCCCGTCGGGGTGGTGAGAATATTGTTCGTCTCAATCATTGGTAAGACGCCGCCAGTTGCCGAGATGCCATTGTATCCCCCTCCTGGCTGAGAGGGATATCTTGGTGGGGGCGGGAGGACACTGAGGGAAAACATCAGCCATTGTGCAGCTACGACGGCTGGGCAGGGCAAGTGATAAGAACGACGTGATTCGTGACGCTGGCCTGTGGTGCTTGCCAATTGCCATGAACCGCGATGTCTTCGTTATTGGCTCTCTCTCCGAGCTCTTGCTTATCTTACAACATGGCGGGCTAGTTTCCCGTTTTAGTGGTGACGCGCTTAACAATGCGGGGGAGCTTCTTGCCAAGGTCGCTAGGACACAAACGTGCTTCGGGGGGACTGTGGGGGCTGCCTGCTTGTACCAAGGAATTATGTTGGGAGGCTGGTATGTAGAGACAAGTCCAAAGTGAAGCTGTCGACAAGTTGCTGTTCTATGTGAACTTCACCGTCTTGAGAGGTTTGAAACGCACGGCGTCGGCTTCCCGGGACGAGGCACGAGAGGCTCCCAGTTAGCCTACTTAGCTCGCTGCACTGTAACTCTTACTAACAAGCAGGGTCTGTGTTAACGACCCGGCAAACAGGCACAAGTGTCATCCACCAGGATGTTCGGGACGGGAGCGAAGCTGCTGTGGGGAACTGGAGGACCGTCCCGATCATCCGGGTGGTGGACATCAGCGAGTTTCTGCGATTCCACGATGTCAGAGAAGCAGACCGGCGGTGCTGCATCTCTTGGAACCGGATACAGTGCTCCCTTACTTCAGCTTGGCAGACATGGAGCTGAGAGCAGACGAATACAGGTAGCAATTAGTGAAGAAGGGGTTGTCTAAATTACAACGACATGACGGGCTGGGATATATATCTCAATAGTTGAAAGGCGATTAGCGCCCTGTGAAATGTATGGAATAACAACCAGTCTACTCATCCACAAAGAGTTCTCTAGAATACCTCCTCAACTGTCCAAGCTGTTCAAAGAGATCCGGTGGAAGCTGAAGTGAGAACTTGGAAAGACTTCACCAATTCGATCTAAGGTGGGGCAGCCGCTCAGGAATGTAACCCTACTAACTTTTTAGCCAATTGGTTGGCTGGGTCTTGTCAGCGGACGTCAATGGCGGGGCTCGTGGGAAGCTAGCGTAAATGACCGCCGGGAAGGGGGAGGGAGCTTTGTGGCAGCTCAACTTTAAAGCCACCAGACGTCAATGGTCCAATATCATGCATGGCCTGACACTTTTACCACTACAGTTGCTTCCCGGTAGCTTTATTATCTGCCATCTGATCTTTTACTAAGAATCCCCATCTCTCTGGCTCTAGATCATGGCCCTTCGCTAGACGAGCTACATCAAAGCTTCAGTAACAGCCTTAAACATGGCGACCGGTACCGCACCTTTCCTGGACATGCAATTTTCCACGAAGCTGACCATATGTCTACAGCAGTTCGAATTTGTATCTGCGGCGACGAGGGGACGGGCAAGTCAAGTCTTATCGCTACCTTCGTCAAGGATACCTTCGTCTCCAACAAAATACAAGCCGTCCTGCCCCAGATTACCATCCCTCCAACGCCCGGCCACGAGAATGTCACCACCACCCTCGTCGATACCTCAGCACGACCCCAAGACCGAACCACACTCCGGAGAGAGATCCGAAAATGCACCGTGATCATGCTGGTCTACTCGGACCACTACAGCTACGAACGTGTTGCCCTCTTCTGGATGCCTTACTTTCGCTCCCTCGGCGTCAACGTCCCCGTCGTTTTATGCGCCAACAAGTCAGATCTTACCGGTGATGGGAACACAGCGCAGGTGCTTGAGGAGGAAATGCTACCAGTCATGGCCGAGTTTAGGGAGATCGATTCTTGCATACGTACAAGCGCAAAGGAGGGACGAAACGTAGTTGAGGTCTTTTGGTTATGTCAGAAGGCCGTGACACATCCAATAGCCCCGCTGTACGACCATAAAGAAAGCCAACTCAAACCAGCCTGCGTTGACGCCTTGAGGAGGGTCTTCTATCTGTGCGACAGGGATCAAGACGGTTATCTCAACGATAAGGAGATGCACGATTTCCAGGCAAAGTCGTTCGATAAGCCGCTGCTCCCAGGAGAGCTGGAGAACCTCAAGGCTGTTGTCAGCAAAGCCGTACCAACTTGTGACATAAGCAAGGGGCTGGATTTACAATGCTTCTTGCAGCTGAACAAGCTTTACGCTGAGAAGGGTCGCCATGAGACCATTTGGATTATTCTCCGAAAACACCATTACACTGACAGTTTAAGTTTGGAGGATGGCTTTTTACAACCGAAGCTGGACGTGCCAGAATATGCCTCGACTGAGCTCAGTCCAGCTGGCTACCGTTTTTTCATGGATCTCTTCTTGATCTTTGATAAGGACAACGACGGAGGTCTCAACGACCAGGAGCTGGCAGCCTTGTTCGCTCCCACCCCTGGATTACCACCATCATGGGTGGAAACATCGTTCCCATCCTCCACTGTCCGGAACGAGGCCGGGCACATCACGCTTCAGGGATGGCTGGCACAATGGAGCATGACCACGTTCCTAGAACCAAAAACAACACTCGAATATCTTGCCTACCTAGGCTTTGAGGGTCCAAACGCCCGGGACTCAACCACAGCAGCCCTCAAAATCACCAAACCCCGCAAACGAAGGCGCAGACCAGGCCGTGTAGACCGCAACGTCGTCCTCTGCTACATCCTAGGCTCCTCTGCCTCTGGGAAATCAACCCTGCTCAACGCCTTCCTCAACCGCCCCTTTGACGCCCTTTACCATCCCACCATCAAACCCCGCCGCGCAGTCAACAGCGTCGAACTGGGAGGTGGAAAGCAATGCTACCTCATCCTCGAGGAACTCGGCGAGCTCGAGCCTGCCATCTTGGAAAACCAAGCCAAACTCGACGCGTGCGATCTCATCTGCTACGCTTATGACTCTTCCGACCCGGACTCTTTTTCTCACATTGTCGAGTTGCGCAAACGGTACCCGCAGCTTGACGAACTGCCTGCTATATACACGGCGCTCAAGGCCGACTGCGACAAGACGACGCAAAGGAGCGAGCTGCAGCCTGATGCGTATACCGCGGCGCTGAATATGTCTGCGCCGCTGCATGTGAGTGTTACGTGGCATAGTATCAGTGAGCTGTTTGTTGCGCTGGCCGAGGCGGCGACGAACCCGAGTACTGCGTTTCCGAAGACGGAGGAGGCGCCGGATCGGACGAGCTTGTATATGGCGTTGGGCGCGACGACTTGCGCGGCGTTGGCGGCGTTTATGATTTGGAGGAGGTCGACAAGTTCGATGTGAGGGAAGGGAAATGTGTGTACCAGATTGAGGTTTCTTTTGGGAGCGGGAGTAGGGTTAGGTGCATGGATGGGAGTTTGATAGGGGGGTTGTTTAAACATATGTTTTGTAGTCAGTTCTTTTTCCATTCCCCCATCGTTTGGCCCCCCTTTTTTTTCTCAATGGCAAGAAGAAAAAGAGAGCGTTTTACATTGATACCCGTCCTATGCACACCTACACCTTGAGGTATACGCACGCTATATAGCATTTTAAATCCCCTTTTCTACTCTACCTTGTATCTTCAGCGGAATTCCAGAGTATTTTGCTGTTCTACAACCAGAAGCGTCACTGTGATGATTTGCAAGAGATGATTTTTAAAACAGCAGCGCATGTTTGGCTTCTCATTGCTCTATAACAGAGCCTCAGCCCCCTCTGCTCCATTGATAGAGCATCCCACACTTTCCTCCCAATCCATAGTGGTATACCGCCCTTAAACCCGATAAAAACAAAAAGCCACATAAAAGCTCGCCGCCTCCATCTCCTCCGGACTAACAAGCAGTTTCCCCCCATGCCTTTCCCTAACCCCCATCCTCTCGCTCAACGGCCCCAACTCCCTATCATCCTTCTCCATCTCCCATACATCCGCAAACGGCTTGTGATACTGCAGCTCCAGGTTGTAATCCTCAGCCAACGCGCGAAAGGCCTCCCACGGAACGACATACTCCGGCACCTCCTCCACTGCCTCATGCAAGAAAAAGTTATACTTCCACCCAAACGGCGGTCTAAAGATCCCGTCCGCTGGCGTAGGACCGGGGAATCTCACTCGGTAGATATCATTCCCCCAAGCAGCAGTCTCCTCCGCCTCTCCCTCATCAGAATCCAGCTCCCCGTCTTCCTTATTAGGGTCCTCGTCGTCCGCTTCGCCATCTTCCTTCGCCCTGGCCCTTTCCGCCTCCTTTTCAGCCTTTCGCCTCTTCTTCTCCTCCTGCTTCTTGTTAAACTCCACCACCTTTGCCGAAATGACATCCGAGTTTGGGATGCACCCAATCAACCTCCCCCCTTTCTTCAACGCCCCCGCCACATTCTTCAGCATCTGCCTCGCCTTTTGCTCCGTCTCAAACGCGTAATGCATGCAGAACATCATGCTCACCACATCAAACCCTCTGTTGTCGCTGACGTTGTTATTGTTGAACCCAACCTGGCGAATAATGTCAATATCCCCTATCGTCTCGGCAAAACAATCCTTCGCGTGGAACCTCGCCTCGAAGATCCGGGGTGGAGGGCGACCCCTATGTCCACCTCTCCCTCCCCGGTGACCACCGCCAGGTCGGTTCATGCTTCTGTAGCGGTCGCGGGCTTGCTCGATGGAGACATCTGCCGGGTCGAGACCGACGTAGAGTTCAACCGTCTGGGGAGCCTGCTGCCATTTCCCCAAATCACCCCCCTTTCCGCAGCCAATGTCAAGAACCAAAAGCCGGTTATTGGAGGTCTGGCCTCTTTCCCTGGCGCCAGGGGAGTGATCTTCGTCTGGCGCAAATTTCTGAATGATGCAGCTCTTAACCCAGTTGTTGAACGATCTCAGGCCTTTGATCCTGCTGTCGGTTTTCCTCCAGTCGCGACCACGCTCTGGGACGGCGTTGTAGTGGGCGCGGACGACGTCGTTGATGTTGCCGCGGGAGTTGTGGTTGGATGGGAAAGAGCCACTGCTGCTGCCGGAGGGGCCATAGGAGGTGGGAGTGTTCGCTGCGGCGCCGGCGGCTTCTTGGGCTTGGAGTTGACGCTGGCGCTCTAGGGCGCGCTGGCGGGCTTGTTCACGGGCGGCATCGTCAATGCGGGCGCGTTGGCCGGGGCGTTTGAGTTGTTTTTTGGGGGCTTCGCCGGAGGGGATGCCGGAGCCGGAGCCGGAGCCGTTGCCTGGGGATGTAGAACGTTGGCGCTTTTTGGCGGTGACGAGGTTGCGAGCGTTGAAGGGTTGGGGGAGGTCGGATTGGTCGTTGTCAGCCATGATGGGCGAGGTGATGGGTGAAGCGATGTCGCTTCGGCTGATGGTTTGGTTGATTAGATTTTTCGATCCCTCGAGATGAATTGAACAAAATCGGCGAGCGTGAAAAGATTTGAAGTGAGAAAAAGTATCTCTTCGTTTGTTGTTTTTCTGTCGTTGTTAAAAGGTTGAAGGTCCAGGAATTTACTTTGGAGCAAGCCGAGACAGGAAAGGGAAAGGGGATCCTTGCCGGGTCCGGTCGCAGATGCCAAGACAGCACCCCTGTAGGCTGGGAGCTGACTGACGCGAGCTTTTGGCAGCCTTGCAGAGAGAGAGTTCGCGCTCGAGCCACCCAACCCAGCAAGACGGACACCCGGACAGGCAAGCAACGAAGCTCCCACTTTCCATCTGTTCAACATCCAACTCTAAATCCAAACGACGACCTTTTATTTTCCGTTGCCGACGACGGAACTACGAGCGACTTGAATCGTCTCGAACTTGAATTTCTAGCGATACAGCCCCGTCGTGCTTCCCATTGAAGCTGACGCAACCACTCTGGGACCTGAGCCTCGATTTCATCCAGCTTCATCTGTCACCACTAAACTCACAACACTACAACTCCAAGTTCAACCCCAACATCACATAAACCCACCGCAGCCATGGGCTCAGATCCTCAATACGCGAAATGGCCTCTTCTGCCCCTCGCCCAGCATGTCTTCACCCTCACGAACCCATACGCCTCAAAGCCCCTCCAGCAATCCGCCGCCAAGGCCCTTCAGGATGCCATCACCGAGCACAAGATGGCCCCCTTCTACAAGTACCTTGCCCACCCCACAGAAGGCATCTTGAATTCCGTAGGGGAGGGTAGTTCAAATGTGCCCGGAAAGGCCCCCAGCAGAAAGAACAGCGTCGCCGCCGGCATGATCAACACCAAGAACCCCACCTCGAGCATAAACCTACCCTGGGACGAGGCCCTGTACCAACAACTGCACGCCGATAACGAGAAGGAGTTGGAGGAGTTTCAGAAGGAGGAGGATGAGGCGGTTGAGAAGGCGGGTGATACCGAGATTCAGGCTGCGCGGGGCAAGAGGGCCGAGTTCTGGGCTCGGGTTGGTGACAAGGTGCGTCTGCTCTTCAACACAGTACTAGCCAAGTAATATCTAACATGTATTTCTTCAACAGGACAAAGCCATCGCCGCCCACGAAGACATCTTTGAGAAAATCGGCGTCCTCGGCACCAAGATCGACCTCGTCCTCGCGATAATCCGCATGGGTCTCTTCTACGGCGACAAGCAGCTCGTCAAGAAGCAAGTCACGCGGGCCAAGACCCTGGTCGAGACGGGTGGTGATTGGGACAGACGTAACAGACTTAAGGCGTATGAGGGTCTGCATAATCTCACGGTTCGCAGCTACAATCTCGCCGCTCCCCTCCTCCTCGACTCCTTGTCTACTTTTACCTCGTACGAACTCTGCACCTACTCCAACCTGGTCGTCTACGCTGTCTTGGCCGGCTCCGTCTCTCTTAAGCGTGTGGACTTCAAGTCCAAGGTTGTCGACGCCCCAGAGATCAAGGCTATTCTTGGCGATGGCGAGGACAAGCTCCTTGCTCTGTCGGGGGCTATCTCTGCCGGTCCTGGTGTGGATGCGGAGATGCAAGATGCTAGCAGTGCGCCCTCTGCGGCCAAGACTACCGTCGTCAATCTTACCACCTTGGGATCCAGCACTGAGCAGGCCGAGGCGGAGATGTCTGTTGATTTCGGGAGCTTGGCCCAGCTGGTTAGTTCCTTGTATAACGGGCGGTATAAGCTCTTCTTCCAGGCTCTGGCCCTGGTGGAGGAGCAGTTCCTTACGCAAGATCGCTACCTTCACGAGCACAAGAACTGGTTTGTGCGGGAGATGCGGCTGAGGGCGTATCAGCAGTTGCTGCAGAGTTATAGGGTTGTGGGGTTGGACAGCATGGCGAATGACTTTGGGATTACGGTGGACTTTTTGGATCGGTATGTTTTTCTTTCCGGGAGGGCACTAGTCTGGGAGATGTGTGCTAACATGGAAATTGTGTAGTGACCTCGCCAGGTTCATTGCCGCTGGCCGCATTCCCTGCACGATTGACCGTGTCAGTGGGCGTGGTGTGATTGAGACGAACCGCCCAGATGATAAGAATAAACAGTATCAGGATGTGGTGCGCCAGGGTGATCAGCTGATCACCAAGCTGCAGAAGTATGGGCAGGCGGTTAGGCTGAGGGGGAGTGAGAGAGCCTAGAAACTCGAGGGTATGTGGTAGGATGAGGAAAGTGAATACTGGTTTATGTAGTAGATGTGGTAGAAGGGGCCTGGTCTAATGTTGGGCTGGGTTAGTAAAGAGTTGTGTTAAGACAATGGCAGCGTCAATATTGATTCTTGATCCTGTTGCAAGTATATCTGTGGTCAAAATCCACAACCAGTGATCAAGTTTTGTTTTTGAGTTTTGTTTTATTTTGAGGCATCCTACCCTGCTGTCTAGGTATGTTATACAACCACACTCCCGCCTCTTTTGTACATTTCCATCCATAACCCTTTCTAGACAAGAGAGGAGAGATATCCAGAGAGTAAAGAAAAGAGAAGGGAGGAGGATGTTATACAAGCACATGACCCAACCAAGACAGGAATAACCCATTTCTTAAACTGAAAGGAAAAAAAAAAAAGAGAAACAAATAACGCTTTTGCTCGCTATTCAAACTTTGAAAACTGCATAAAACGCCCCCGCCCCATCCATACCCTCTTCTCCCTAACGATACTTCTCCATAAACTCCCTATGAAACTTGACAATACTCCCCACCCACTCCGTCCCCGGTGCCAAAAATGTCGTCCTAAAATGCAAGCTCCCCTCCCTCTGCCCAAACCCGCTCCCGGGAACGACACAAACCCCCGTCGCCTCGAGCAGCCTCAAACAGTAAAACTCATCCGGGGTCCTCCCCTCCTTCTTCGCCGCCTCGGCCGCCTTTTCAGGGAGGTTGATGGTAGGAAACAAATACATGCTCCCCTGCGGACTCCCGCATTCCACCCCCTCCATCTGCTCAAAAGCCTTGTGCAGCGCCGTCGCCCTCTCCTTCAACCCGTCATAAATAGCGTCATACTCCTTCTTGTAAAGCTCATAGCTCTCCTCCCCGGGCCGGGGCGGGTTGACCATCAGGTCCACCAGACACTGCCCAATGACCGGGGCGCAGAGCATAATGGACACAAACTTGTAAATCTCCTGCTGCACGTCCGGGTCAAAGTTGACCAGCTCAAAGTACCCCCCCCTGTGCCCGCACTCGCCCACCATGCCCTTTGACACCGAGTGCAGCGACGCGAGCTCCACCTGGTCAAACCCGTCGTTTGGACGCTCCTTTTGGAGGGTCCTCAGCACCTTTTTGAAGGAGACAAACTCCCCGATGAAAACGTTGGTTTGGTAGACCTCGTCGGCAAGGATGACTAGTCTTTCCTGGCGGGCGAAATCAATCACAGAGCGAATGTCGGATTCTGACAAGGAAGCGCCGGTGGGGTTGCCCGGGTTGATAATGACAATGGCACGGACGTCGATGCCCTTGGCTTTGGCGGCTTCGTACGAAGACTTGATGATCTCGAGGTCGGTTCCCCAGTTCTTCGACTCGTCAAGGTGGTATTCGACGCAGTGGGCGTCCAGGACGGCGAGGGAGGCGGTATACAATGGGTACTGGGGGATAGGGACGAGGATGCCCGTGTTGGAGTCCTGGCAGAGGACGTGGAGGAGGGTGTTGACACCGGAAGACGCACCGGCCGAGAGGTAAATGTCGGATTGAGAGGCGGGGAAGCCATCTCTCCCTACAACAAACAGTCAGCATGACATTGGCCTGACAGGTACTGAAAAAGAACTTACTCTCTAGGAAATCGGCAATACTCTGCCTAATGGCAGGCACACCGTTACTGGCGCTGTACGCACCCACCGATCCCACCACCTTGAGCAGCTTCTTCGCCCGCTCAATCACATCCTTCTTGTACCCCAAATGCTCAATAAGCACATCCTCCTTCTCCAACAACACGGGGTTCTCCAACAAACTGAGCACCTGTCTGAAAAACGTAATAGGCTTCTGATCCAGCTGTTGAGGATTACCAATGTTGGCCGAAATAACCTCTGAAAACGGCAGGTCCGTCATCCCGCCCTGGAGGTACGCCCTATACTCCTCCGACTTGACGGCGAGCTCGCCACGCACGGCATACTTGGCAGCCTTGACGTGGGGGTTGATGTTGTTCATATTTAGTCGTCTACCCGACGACGATGGTGTGGATGAAGACGCCATGTTGCGAACTTGTTGCTGTTGTTGCGATTGAGATTGGTTCGAGAGTTGACCCATAACGACGGCGGCAGTGGCAGCGACCGGGATGACTCCGACTCTTTTGCCGGTAGAAGTGATGGACGAAAAGCAGCGACCTGCGCAACGAGCAGCAGCCGACGATAGCGGGGTAGTAGCAGTCAATGGCGGGGCTGGAGCGAGTCCCGAGACGTCTGCAATGGGCACAAAATGTAAGAGAGTGATTGGTTGGATCAGATCAAACAGTTCTTGTAAGAGAAAGAATGTAGTGTGTGATATAAGACAACAAGAGAGAGAGAGAGAGAGCGCGTGTGTGCTTTTCCCTTGGTGTAAAAACACACAAACGACCGTGACTTTTCGAGGAGAATGTGAGAAAGAAGAACGCGAGGTCCGGCCTTCAAGCAGAGAGGAAGATGTCAACCTAGTCTCGTATATGTACTTCCGTAAACCCCAGGCAAGGCTAGCAAGAGTATAGGTCCGAAGGATAGGCGGCTTCCTTTTTCCTTCTCTCACACCCACAACTTAAAAGTCACTGGACTAAGGGAAAGCGGACAATCCCGAAGAAAGGAAACTGGGGGGGGGGTAAAGTGTATCAACAATCAAATTGACAAATGGGAAAAGGCGGGTGAGCAGAGGGAGGTAGGTGGTTGGCTACTGAGCCCCCAAAAGACCCAGGCACACATGAAAAGATGTGGGAATCAGCACACTTCTCCGTCCCCGTCATCCGAGTTCCATATGTTTGCCCCCCCCCGGGTGTTGGATGCAAGAATGGTCCCTGCCCGGCCGAAACCGGCTGGGACATCGGGTCCCCGTGTTTATCCCCCAGATTCAGATCACCCCAGCTTTTCTTGTTGGAGGAATTGCAAACGCCAAGCAAAGGATTGGATGACCTCTGCATGGCCCGCCAAGGAGGTGAAGGGGCATGGCCATCATGAAAAAAGAAGGGAAATGGAAAGACGAATTGTATTGTTCGGTCTTTTGTGCCTTACCTGCGCGGGTGGATGGGGTTCCCCTCGGGAGTGCGCCCGGGATGAACCTGGCGCTGTGGCTCAGCGCTGAGTTATTTATCGTTGTCCCACGGCGGGCGACTCGCATCAGATAGGGCGCCATGTTTCCGATATGACGTTTGCGCTTCGAATCGAATATCGAACAACAAGACCCGGGGATAGCGGAGATGGAGCGGACGCCCGGTTCTGGGCGGTTTTTCTGGCGTGGTTGAACGAATTATCCCACAAAACCTGTCACCAGCATCCGTACCGTTGGGCGCCAGAAGCAATTTCGTCCTTCGTTCGATTCCGGGGGGTCGGTCAAACGATCAGTTGGTTCGGTCTGGTCTGGTGGTCTGCTGTCTGTCGCCGGTCGCCGGTGTGAGAACCTCTTACTTGCAAAGAGAAAAAACCGAAACCTCTCCTCCTCGTGGTCACACCTTTATTGTCTCTCTTCTGCGGGAGGCGCGGCTCCGAAAATGGAGCCCTCGGGCGGTGTAATAAGAGAAGGCCACGATTGTCTGGGTCGCTTCGTTTCCGTACTAGGACCGGGTTGGCCGGCGGGTGCGGCTTAAGACCAGATGAGAATAGTAGCAGCAAGAAGAGATGTGGCTGTCTCGAAAAAGGCCGCAGGGCAACCGAATATCTCTTTGACATCGTTGCCGTGCGCCTTCCCTCGAACTTTCACGATATGGCCAAGGTGGGGGTTAGAAGACAAAATTGTGTGACACAACCAACAACTCAGCGAACTTCTCTTATCGCAGGCAAAAACCTGAGACATTCAAGCCTAGACCCTGCTCCCTCATGTCTATCCATCTCCATAACCTCATGAGCCCCAATGCCCGAAAGTTTACGTTATACCAATAACCACACGACACCCTCACCTCCAGCGCTCATATCCAGTGAGTGTAACCGCGGGGTATTAGTGTAGCTCTATCATCACGTTCCAGACCTCCTCCCCCAATTCCCGACCCTTTCACTCGCACAAGCTCCCCCCCCCCCAAAATTGATTGCATGACCCCATCTCACCTGATAAACCCTCAACAACAACATGAGATGACCACCCGATGGCTACCTTCGGTTGAAGGTCAGCCCAACTGTCCATAAAGGTACCCCGTATCACACTGCGTCTTATCTTATCGATACCAACCCCAACCCTTCCAAAATCTAGCTCACAACCCCTGGCCCGTGCACCCCCGATCCAATCCAAACCCATCCTCCAAGCTCCAAACTTCGCGATCCATTGCCGAGTCCCCCGACGACGACGACGACGACGACCACCACCACCCCAATTCCCGACCAACCATACACCAGGTCCCATAACCCGGGAACTGGTCAAAAATCAGTTAAAATGGCCAAGAAGGGTCCGTTCCATTTTCTCTCCTCACCAACCCAAGGAGGAGAAACGCTGCTGACATGACACGAAAACAGCAAAATCCCGTGTTATCATCGTCCGCCTCCTCTCCATGGCGCAAACGGGCTACTTTTACACCTTCACCCGCCCCCGTGTCGGAATCCCAATGAGCATGATCAAGTACGATCCGATTGGTACGAGACACACCACACCTCCCCAAACCGGTACCCAAAATGCTAACAGGGCTCTAACCACAGTGAGGAGGAGGGTCCTGTTCTTAGAACAAAAACGAAAGGGGAAATAAACCAAACCATCTAAACCGAATGAGCAAAAAAGCAAAAAAGGCCTGGGGAAAAATGGGCTGGGAACGAGGATCAAGACCGAACCCAATACACCATCATATACGGCAGAACAAGAATGGGGAAATGGACGGCTCAGATGATGATAGAAGAAGGAGGTTTGGGGAAAAGAGCTGGGCCTTTTTGTGTACGATACCACCGAAATTCTGCGCCATTGTACATTATCAATCCAAAAAACAAGGAGAAAAAAAACACCACATAGCATAACCGGCGCTTATTGGTTTGGGAGAGAGACTGAGTCAAATAGAGGAACGAGTCAATCTACCCATCTTCCCTGATGATGCCATAGTTCAAGTATCATTTGGAACTCTTCGAGAATGGAAAGGGTCAAAAGATTAATGAATTTCAACAGCAGTTCTGTACCGCTTTGCTAAAGATAGTTATTGACTCCCCCCAGAAGCTCCGTCAGCTCAGTCACATATCTCTATAAAAGTAAGTCATATAAACTCCTAGTTTGATCTTTTTCCTTTTCCATATCGTGTGATAAAGCAAGGGTGCTCTTGAACATGCCAAATGGAAATCTAACAATGTACTCTCCTACGTCCTTCCAGATAGTACCAAATCATGAGCAAATCTCAGCGAGCAATTCTCTCAACATCCCACTCATCGCCAACCATGACCGTTTTAGGCTTCGTGCGTTTCCTGCGAATCAATAATCGAGTCCTGATAATCCCCTATATTCCGATAGGTCTGCAGCTCTTGTGGCTGTGATGCTGTTGAGGGCACTTGTGGTCGTGACCAGAATCGTGGCTGCGATCTCAAGATAGGGAGACCGGATGCGTCTGTCTCGAGTGCAGGGGATAATGATCTACGACGTCTTCGTATGCCATAGTCTTCTGCGTTTGCGGGCTGGGGCTGGCTTGACGTCCATGAACCGGCGCTGTTTGGCAGCGGGGTCCTTTCTTCTGGGCTGGGTCTCTGAGGTCCTCCGAGTGTTGAACTGTTAGTTTGGCCAGCTGCTTGTAAGGCAGTCTGCCCTTGCTGAGGACCTGTTGACTTGGGTGGCTGATCTGGTGAGTCCGGTTCCAAACTGAGGGTTCTTGAGCCCCCTAGGGCAGAGATGGGGTGCTCATCAGGCGCTGTTAACGGAGTCGTCTTGCTTCGCGTGGCTCGAGAACCGCCGCTCGCTGGAGCCTTCCTCTTGGTCAGACGCTTTGTCGCTGGCTTGACAGTGGTGGCCACCGGTGTTGGTCGAGTTGGTGTCGGAATGTTTGGAACAATGTGTTGGATACCCAAAGGAGCCGGACTGGTGCCAGCCTCAGTAACGCCAGCAATGTTCTCTTGGCTCAACCTACCAGAGGAAGCGCTTCGGGTTACGCGCCTCAAGACTGACTTGGGTTGGAGAGCTTCCCTTCTTCGAATCTTCTCCTGGTCTACTGTTGGCGGAACCGGGTCCGGTTCGCTCATGGGGGTTCGGATAACAACTCGCCGTCTTTGGGATCCAGGATCATTCGATGGGCTGGAGAGAGGAGTGGCAGATGCACCACCCAGCAGCGTGCCGGGGCTCTCTCCCGTCCGGGATCCGGGGCTCCCCAGCAAAGTGGTACTGTCGTCCATGTTGGCTGTTTCTACCTCCACTCGCGGGCGTTCTTGACGAGAGATGGCAGCCTGCCCCGATGAGTCCTGTGATTGGGAATGCTCCGATGAAGGTTCCGTATTGAGCGCCTTTAGCCTCTGCGAGAGTGCAAGCTGGGCCAGTGTATGCAAGACGCAGGCTTTGATCTCCTCGACCTTCCCATGCGCAAACTGTTCTCTAATTGCATCCGTAGGGTGCCCATATTGCCGGGCCCAATCCATCAAACCGGAAGCCATAGCTTCGCACCGAACACGTTGATGATCACGCTCGCTTGATAGCTCAGCGACTGCCTTTCTCGCTGCATCTCTCTCAGCTTCCAGCGAAGTTACCCGAGCTTTCAGATCCTCAATCTGCTGACTACGCTCTGCCAAACGCTCTGTGGACTCTTGAATGACTCTGTTCTTGGTAGCTTCCTCAGCTGCCAGCATCCCTTTCAATGAATCCACTAGATGCGAGTTGCGCTCCCTTTCTTGCTCCTTCTCTTGAACAACCTTCTCCAAGTGCTGCTGGGCTTGCTCCAAGAATTTTGTCGTGTCGGCGATGACCCGTTCCATCTCATCTCTGGCTTCGCGACGCGCGGTGTCAGATGCCTTCTGAACGGCCTCCAGAGTCGATTGTTGCCTCTCCTGAATCGCCTCCTCCAGCTTCCTGACCTCGGTGATCAGCTTGTCCCTGTGCTTTTGTGTCTCTGCCAATAGCCTCTGATCTGCCGACATGGTGCGCTCCATTTCAATGCGAGTTTCACTCTGAGCAGTTTCCGTGGCATTTCTGATCGCAGTCTGGTGCCGGCTTTCGTTCTCCTGAATCGTCCCCTTCAACATCTTGATTTCTCCAACCAAGGTATCTCTCTGTCTTTCAGTCTGCTGAAGCATCCTTCTGGTGTCTGCAATTATGCGTTCCATCTCAACTTTGACCTGGTTCCTCGCAGCTTCCGAAACCTGCTTGACGGTGATTTGGTTCGAGTGCTCCTGTTCCCGCAGGGCCTGGTTGAGCTTGGAGACTTCGATGCCAAATGTTCGTACCTCAGCGGAGTATGTCTCTCCCTTAGACCTAAGCTTGTCTTCGAGCTCTCTGATCGTGGCGGTCTTTAACTCGACCTCATCGCTGAACTTTTCATTCTCGTCTTCCAGCCGGGAGCCAATGTCCTTCAGACGCTGAATCTCTTCTTGATCATTGCCATGCTGACTTTCCATGGCAGAAATATTCTGTTGGAGTGTGTCGATACGCTCAGTTTGCTCCCTGGACTTTTGCTGCAAGGTCACAATCTCTTGCTCGAGTGCTCCACAACGAGCCTTCTTCTCTTCAAGAAGGGTGGTCAGTACGGCCTTCTCCTCCGCCTTGAGCGCCAGTTGTTGACCCATTGTGTCGAATTGGCTATCAAGACGCTGCAGGACCTTCCATATCTGTGTTTCGATGCAAGTTGACAGCTGACTGGTGGCATCGCTCACAGACTCTCGAGATACCAGCATCACTTCGAGCTTGGCATTGATGCTGGAGGAGACCAGTCAGCAAGGACAAATACACGGATATGAATGAACCTACTCGTTGAGGCTTTTTGCTTGTGTCTCTCCCAGACTAGTCGTCAGTTCAGGTTGGTCGACCACTGTCTGCGATACCTTCTCCAGCTGACAGGAGATGGAATCCAACCACTCATTAGTTTCCTTCGTGGATTCCTCACGTCGAGAGGACTCCTCCGTAATCAGTTCTCCAATGTTGCAGAGAACTTCCTCATTCTTGGCGGCAAGCTTCTCGAACCTTTCCGATGAAGCTTGGATATCTTGTATTCTGGTAGACAAGCCACGAATTGTCTCCTGATCGCGGGCAATCTGATGATCCTTCTCTTCAACCTGTTGTGTCAGAGTACGTATTTTTTCGTACACTACAGAAAGTCAGCCAGTAATCATGGATGTAAGATGGTTTGGAGACCCACGCTCGGAAGACTCTCTCTTGTTCTGAGCAATGTCCTGATGCACTCGTTCCATGAGCGCTTTGCGAACTTTTTCGCCTTTCTGGGCAACTGCCTCTGCCTCGGATATCCTGGCTGATGCAATGTTGCGCACTTCGGTGATCGTCTCCTCACACCGCGACTTGGTGTCATTGTACAGAGCTCGCTGTTCTTCAATGATACTGTTGCATCGAGATTTGAACGCAGCAAACTTTTCTGCCAGCGTTGTGTTTTGCTGCTCAAAGTTCTCAAGCTTGGTGTGCAATTCCACAATGCGAGCATCTTTTTCAGCTTCAGATGCTTGAAGATTCTGTATCTCCTTGGACTTCTCGATGCTTCGGGCAACAAGAGCGGAGGACTCCTCCGCCGCCCTCTCCAGTTCCAGCTTCAGGGACTTGATTTTCTCGCGGTAGCGTTCCCGTTGCTTCAGCAAGGCGGTCTCCTGATCCATATTGAACTCGTTGAGCACTTCAGCCATGTTACTGGCAAATTTGTGGCGTACACGGACGGTTTGTTGCTTCAGCTCAGGGCTGGATGTGACGGACTTGGCTGATGATTTCTCTGGCCTAAGGAAATGTTGATGCTGGGCCTTTCTGGTGTCCGGTGCATCTCTGCGTCTTGATATGTTTGAACTGTGCGACTGAGCACGTACATTCCGCATGGATTCATCCACCTTTCGCATGGTTTCTGCCTTCCTGCTTGCTGAGTTCGTCTTTCGAAATGGTTTGATGGCTGGCTGCATTCGGTGTCGATGGGCCGGCCGATCACCCGGGTGTCGGTGGCTGCGAGACCCTCGAGAGCTGCGAGAATCACCTGTGGTGTGCTTTGGAGCCGAAGGATGGATAGAGGTCTTCTTCACTTGGGGTGTTACCTGCGGCGATGAAATTGCGAAATCACTCGGCAACGGATGATGTTGTGGAACATATTGATCAGGCATCTCGGCGTAGTACTCCGCATTGTTATCGAAACCGTAGTCTTCGTCATCATATCCCGGGTCGGTAGCCATTGCGTTGAGCTTGACAGGTGAGGTGACATCAATAATTGAAGGTTCGGCACCATGGACAGTGCTCACTGCGTCCTCAACATATGCTGGCTGAGGATACGTCACATGGGCAGTTGTGACCTTGGGAGAAGGCAGATCGGGAAACGGGTGTGGTTGAAATGGCGGGTGTGGCGAGGGTTGTTTGGGCCCGTGGGCAGCTGGATCATTGTTGCGAAAGTCACCGTTATCAGGGAAGGGTCGAAAGCTCTGGATAGGGGATACTCTTCGGGCGTCCAATGGGTTGGGAATGACCCTATTCCGTCGGTTGCGGCCAGAGAACCGCGTTAGTCCGGGCTTCCCTTCGATGGTAGGGAACTTGGGTATATGAGCCTGCGGAGGGTCTTTGATATGCTGTTCATGTAGGCCAGTCGGCGTGGTTGGCTTTCCAGGAGAGCGTGCTGTAAACCGGTTGGGGACGACAGTGACAGGAGGGCCGTAAGAGAAACTCTTGGTGGCATCTGGCTCGGTGGAATGGTCTTCCGGGATCTGCGGAAGCTTACCGTTCTCGATATCAGTCAAATCAACGATGTTCTTGGGATTGGCTGGCTTCTCTGCTGGTAGCGTTTGCTCCGTATTCGGGGACTGTCCGTCGTTCGGGGAGCTGTCAAATGGTTTCCGGGTCATCTGACCACGCCCGTGGGATGTATCGAATTCGGTGGGAAAAGGTTGCTCCATGGTGTTGATGGTGTCTGGGAAACGAGAAGGGTGTTGGATTGGCCAGCAAGTCCTAAGGCCTGATACAGCCAGTCAAGAGGAGGACTCCAGGCCCAGCACAGAAATTAGTAGGGAGTATGTTACACAGATGATGTACTCAAGAGTGAGAAAGGGGTCAAATGGCGATTGTCTCCTGCATGGATGATACCGCCCAGGCTTGTGGATTGTTGACGCCGTTGATTGACAGTTGCACTCTGGATGAGCGAATGGAAGGGGGACATGGAAGAATTTGGCAGAGGCAAAGTTGAACAAGAGCGTGACTTCCTTCAGTAGCCTCTTGCCTGTCCCTGCACTTCAAGTTGTCGTGCCTTCCAAGCAGGGAGACCGGAGCTCGGGCGACCCCCGCCATCCGACCCTTTTTCTGCCTGAAACTTCGGGAAGCCATGAAATATGTATTCCGGTGGGATTAAATAAATCAAGAAAAACTTCCAAGTCCGATGCCATATTTGCGCTGTGAGGTCAAAGGCGGCAGAATGAGTTGTCTGGTGTGAGGTAAGGACTTGAGATACAATCAGAACTCATCTCCGAGGCAAGTTGGTTATTTCCCACGATCGATAATTAGAGTTATTCTCTGTTCACGAGGTTATGGATGAGGGAGTTCATAGACAGTTTACGCCTGAACCATGATGCTCCCCCCCTGATTTTGCACCTCTCGAAAAGAAAACAAACGGGCGGCGTTGACAGGGAAATGATAGTGGGGTAACGCTAAGGGTATATTCGACAATGTTGCCGAAAATAGAACCATGTTTGTCAACCCTCTTCCTTCATGCCATCTGCAACAGCAAGAGAGTGTCCCGGAAAACCTAAAACTTCATGTTTCTTTGACGGTTTGTCGAAGCGCTCATGGAAGCCCAGTAGACTGCTTGCCGCCGGGAATCCTACCAAGCCCGACAGCCCCGACTCTGAAGCAAAGCGGCAAACGACACACTCTCCAGCCACAGACCCAGTCCTTCTTATTCCAAAAATGCGACAAGAACAACACCACAGTCGGCACTGGATTCTCGTGATGAGAGCAAAAAGAAAAAAAGTTGAACAGAATGTGAGGTTCGGATAAGAGTGAGGGGTACACTGTGATAAGCAGCCATCACTAACACCTCTACAAGTGCGCTATTGGTGTGATATGCCAAGGCTCCTTACAGCATCACACATACCTTGGTGACATCCAGTCAAAAGACAGCATCTCGATAGGTGTGATGTGATTTGGAGCGGTTTTCTACACAGAGAATGGCATGATTTGATCGCTCACATTTAGCACAAGGTAGGTACATAGAGCCATCTATGCGAACCGTTCAGCAAAATCGACTTTGGTCTCACTTCAACATCGCAGGCTTGCGGTCTCAATTGACGTTATCCATCAACCACGCCTCATATTCAGGTACCATCACCATCACCATGCAAGATCTCGCCCTGCAATTGCCACCACCATGCACATGTGCCCAAACGGCGCTTCGTTTTCTTTTCCTTTTCTTCACGAGGGTGAAGTCCCTCGAGCGCTCGAGCCGCCCACCCCTCTTGCCCATTCCCTCCTCCCATTCGTCGGCCCATCGATCTCCCCCTGAGCCCCTGTCACCTCTTCCCGCCCTACAGCCCGCCAAGACATCCAAAAGACCAGGGTCCAGGCTACAAGCCCGGGCGCTTGCAAGTCCAATGAGATGCAACCTTTACTTTGAAACCTTCCGATATGCATGTCAGTTGCTATACAAAGCCCTCTGTGCTTCGCAAGTGCCGAGTGAGTTCACCTCCCATGTGGGGAAACTCCAGTTCACTACCAGGGGAGTTATGCAGCAGGCGTCACAGTCACCTCTTCCTCTCCTTGCGTAGTGAGGAAGAGCTGATAGGTGATAGGTGATAGGTGATAGGTAGCGAGAAAATGGTGGTGGTGTTCATGCTATAATACCAAAATCCCCATCCTATACCGGACAAGTGATGGAAGGTCGATCTCTGCTTGGCCGCCTCCCCTCCTCTTCCACCCAAGTACCCCTGATGTCTCTTCCCGCCGTCGTCGGGCAGTGTGTTGCTGCTCAGTCCTAAATACCGGCCCCTACCCTCACTAAGCCGCACACCTGCGGCGCTTCCGCCTTTTTTTCTTTTCTTCCCCTTCTCATATTCTGGTGTTTGTACAATCCCGGCTGCTGCCTTTTCTTTTCCAATCTATCCAGTTCTGTGAATAACCTCATCTATCCAACTCTCGCGCTGCTGGTCGCGCATTTCATACCTCCCTCCCGAAACCGAGATAGTTCTTTTGAGAAGACACACGAACAACAGCGGAGCAAAAGCACAACAGCAAATATGGCACCCCACCCTCAAACAGACAACTCCCCCTTCCCCCTAACCCCAACCGAAGACGACGTCGCCGGCCACGGCACCCCAGACGATGGCTCCCTCGCGGGCGCGAGCGGCACCTCCTCAGGCGGCATCACCATCTCCCGGGGTGCCCTCGTAGCCATCATCGTTGTCGTCGTCGTGGTTGCTTTAGCAGGGAGCATGTTTCCCCTTTCCTCACCCCAACCCCCCCTTTTCTGATCATCACTAACATCTCCCGCAGTCGCTTCCTCAGTCCTCTTCTACGTCGCCAAAAAGCGCGAGTGGACCGTCAAGGAAACGATTCGCCGTTCCGCAAGAAAGGTCGTCACCGCCCTCACCCCACGCCGCTCCGAGTTCCCTCGCAGCGTCAAAGAAGGCGGCGGGAGCAGGAACGGAAGGGTAAAGCTCGATGACGTCCCGCCTACCCCTAGACTTACGCCTGAACGCCTGGAAGATTTGGAAAAGGGACTCGAGGGGAAGAAGAGGAATAAAAAGTCAAACTTTAGCCGGAAGTAGAGGTCAGGCGTAGGGAGGGATGAGGCGATGTGAGAGAGAGGGATAGAGAAGGGGTAGCTGGAATTATGAGGCGGGTAGACGATGATTCGGGGAAGGGTTATGGTTGGACAAGGAACGGATTTCGATACCATTTTGCATCAAGAGGCTCTCACTCGATGCAAACAACAGACAGATATCACGTACCAATATCGCTTGTATAATAAACAACAACAGCTATAAACCTCAGGGTATCTGACCATCTACATTTTCCGGAACACGTTACTGCTCGCACTCCTCCTCCCATCATCCCTCCTCTTCCCCTCCGGCCTCGGCGGCGGCGGCTCCTGCTTCTTCTTCTTGGACTCCGGCACAAACGTGATCGCCTGCTCACCCACAATCTCCTTCTTCCCAGCCAACCTCGACTCCCTGGTATCCTTCTGCGTCCTATCCCCAAACGCAAGATCCCTAATCTTCCCACCGCGAGGAGCAGTCGACGAAGAAACCTGCATAACCACCTCGTCCTTGCTCTTCTTCTTGGGCTTTTCCTCCTCCTCCTCAGATTCGCTACCACTAAAGTCCGTCGAGTTGGCATCCGCCATGTCAACATCTTGTTGTTGACCAGGCTTGCCACCAACAACAGTGCTGGGGTTAAGAGACCTGAACTCCCTGCTGAGCTCATCAACCTTGAACTCCTCATCCTCGAACAGCTTCGCGAAACGTTCGTCACCCAGGATCCCAGCTTCGGGGTCCACCTTGCCTCTGTTTTCCTGTCTCTGGAGCACCTTGTCGGCAAGTTTCTGGTTGACCTTGACCTTCTTGGTGCCTCTGATTCTGCTGCTGCGCTCCTTCTCGAGCTTCTCCTTGACCCTCTTTGCGCGCTCCTCTTCCCAGATGTACGGGTTGGCAATAAGACGGGCTTGGTCGTAGAGCTTCGCATGCGCAAAGTAACCGTGCATGTATGGCCGGAGAAGGTTGGTTTTGCCGATAAGATGGTCGAGGCTGAGCTCTCTGAGTTCTGGCAGGGTGAGGAATTTGTAGTTGTCGTAGGTCTCCGTCTGGGTCTCGTTCTCCATTTCGTGGACGAGGTTGTCGAGGAACGTGCACCACTTGGGTGCGAGGCCGAGATTTGGAATAAAGAAGCTGTGCATGTGCTTGCCCTCGTTAGCCGTCAAAAGCATACCGGAATCTGGCACATGGACTACATCATTGAGGTCAACCATTGGCTCAATCGAGGTCCAGAGATCGCCGCTGTGTTCATCCCAGATTTTGATAATTCTCTTGTCGGCCGAGAGAAGCTTGCGCTCCTCTGTGGGTGTCCTCATGTGAATCAGCTTCTTGATCGGAAGACCCATGCCCTGATCCTTCTTCATTAATGGACGCGGGTTTCTGAGGTCAAACACTCTGATCTGGCCCGTGCTCGTTCCCAAAGCCAGCGAAAGCCCATCGTTGCTGTAATCGAGTGCCGTGACCTCGCCGTCTTGGTTCCCCAAAACAGCCACGCGCCCCTTGCTGCGTGGATCGAAAAACTCAACGGTTCCAATTGTAGTACCGAAAGCACAGAGGCCGTGTGTCCTTTCCGCTACCGCCGCCACATTGACCGCACCAGCATGGATTCCACCCTGCAAACCGACACCCGCATCATCCTCTCCTACATCAACCTGCCATGGTCGCAGGAACTGGCCACGCTCGAGATCTAACCGGAAGACCTCGCCGAACCCCGAACCATCAGAGCTCACACCAACAGCTGGTACCAGCACCTCGGTGCTCTGTCTGAGATAGGCCAGATCTCTGCCGAATCTTGGAAGGCGAACATCGTAGTGGCAGCCCATAGGTGTGTGGAACTCGAGTGATCGATCGTTCTGCAGGTGAACACTCTTCGTATAATCGGAGCTGAGAAGCATGAACGTCGTATTTTCGGATTTGGTGTGGCGCGCAAAGGAAAGAGACAACTCGGCGGTCGAGTGAACGTGGAACTGGGGCTTGTACGTGCCCGAGCTCATGATCCAGTTGCCATCCTCGCTGACCCGTACGCAGTTGCTTGCCTCCTCGAACTCGAATTCCTGAAGCAGCTCGAAATTATTGAGGTTTTCGGGGTCATATTTGGAGGATCTCTTCCTGCGGCGCGCAAGCCAGTCTGGCAGCGGCCGAGCTGTCGAGGGACCTGCGACGGTGTAGCTGATTTCGGTTAGTTCTGCTTGCAATTCCCTGAAAAAGAGGGAGCGATAGAAAGAGAGATTGAAACTTACACGGGAACCGCTCCCGGATTTGTCAACTTCATGGTGTGTGGTGATGCTGCAGGTGAAGAAAAGAAATCTCGGCGCAAAGGCTCTGAGATGGACTTGGGTTGGCTCTGGGGGGGCAGAAACCAAAAAGTTTCAATCGTTGGGGCCCGAAACGGAAGGCGGACAGAATTCTTCTGCTGCACGGTCCATGGAGTTTGCACTCCTCTAGCGCCGGAAATCTCCGTTCCCAGCGTTCAAAGGTGGGTCAAAACGGTGACAGTAGAAGGTGGGTCTTGAATCTTGAAGCTTGTTTTATCCCCGCCTGTTTTTAAGTGTCTTGAAGACTTGAGGACATAGGTCCTTGTTGAGCCGCAGTAATGGGTTCTGTTGTCAGTAATGGGTTCTGTTGTTAGAGAGGGAGAGGATGTCCACGGTGTATCATGAGTCTATCACCTGCTCATGTTTTGGTGTCTCTCTCTCAGCTACTCTAGACTCTGGACTGTGGCTTGCTGTAGCGTGAGCCATGTATGTTTGACAACAGCTGGTATCTCCATAGCTGTAAACAAAGCTACGAAATCCAATACTCTAGATAAAACGTAGTCTTTTCAACATAGAAGAACACGATAAATAGTAGAAGTGAGCGAGCATTGATGAGACCCAGATTGGTCATGCCCCATGTGCTACCCATGCAGGCTCGGTGGGGCAGTGGGCTTGGCGCAGCTAGTCCCTCTCCGCCATATCGGGTACGGGGGGGCCTGTGCAGCATCTGTACAACGACGCAAGAACAGCCTGAAGTTGCACCAGGCCCTCCGACACCAGCGCCCTCTCTCAACCTCATCGCATCGGCCCCGATCGATTCCATCGCGAACACCCTTCTGGGATACCGCCCCGAGCTATACTGCAATACCACCCCGAATTGGCCCGCAACAGGACCCGTGTTGCCACGCGCCTCCCGTCGACTGATTCGAGAACCGAGACCACGAAACCCCATTTGCGCAATCTGCACCTTTTCATGTCTCTGGCCACGAGGAGCCCGTGATTCGCGGAGACGCCCTCAAACATCCCGGGGCTCCTCCGCTGCTGCCATGGAGCTCGGCACTCCGTCACATAGAGCACCAAGTCATCCATCGAAACTGTCTCCCGCTGCTGCCCCCGGGAGACCACACCGTCCCATACTGCCCGACAACGCCCTCGCACCGCCCATTCTCGTCGCTTGATCCGGATGGTGCTTTCTGCGCATGTCCCGGCTTACCACACGACCGCTTCTCCGACGTCAGCCTTGGGTGGACGCTGCTCCCCCTGTGACGCGACGCCTTGCGCGACACCACCGATATGGAGGCTGGGGACTATGACACCAATACTCTGTTAATTGTAAGAACGCTGCGCATACCCGTTTGGCCCCTCGATCCTATGCTAACATGTCGGACCTATCCTAGAACAACCTCTCTGCCGTTTCTTATCGTATCTATGAACCCATTGCGTCCCACGCTTACACTTTTAATGCCTCCGATGTCCACGATGCGCTGCGCAACGATGGCCACCTGGTATATATGGACAGTGTCCGCCATGGAATATGGTGCTTCTACCTCTCCACCGCCGACCCTGCCGTGAATCCAGAGTCGATTGGCCTTTTTGCGAGGATGGTGGTCTGCGGCTACACGTTGGGTCTTGTGGGAGAGGGGCACTTTAGGCCCGTTGATTTGTTCAAGAGTCGCATGTCGGGCGGGGATCCCATCAACACGCCGAGCAGCTCGTCTTCGGCCGGATTTGCCGCCGATATGGGGCTGCAAAGAGCCCAGTCTTTCAACATGCCGACACCAACAACGGTTGGAAATGTGGTTCTGGCTGACGTCAAGGGCTATGCTTCGGTGCCTATTCCCGAGATCCACCGATACTTCATGAAAGCTGCGTTAGAGTCCCTGACGACCTATTTCTGCCGACAAATAGGTGCCATCGCCCTGAACCCCCGTGCTGTCCTGCTTCCACCCGAGGCTCTCAATACGGACGATGCCGACCATGTCTCGGCCCTGGCGACCTTCCGGGTGTATTTGACAACCACTGGAACACTTGTTATCTCGCTCAATGTTTCCCTCTCCAAGAGCCTGGTTGCATGTTCACGGCCTTTTCAAGGTAGCATGATGCCTCCCAGTCCAATTCTAGCCGCCCCATTTGGACATTTTGGAACCTTGCAGGGCATTCTTGATACGGATAACCAGGGCACTGAAAATGGGTTCGTTCAGTCCCCAGATACCCAGATTGGCCGGTTAAGGTCTGGGTCAGGGGAAAGGTTTTCTCAGTGGAAGACGTTGGTCTGCGAAGTCTTGAAAATGCATGGCATGTCATCCAGCATCTTGAATGGATGCTCGTGGTTAAATGTCCACTTTTCGCAAAGGAAACCATACGAACAGCGAGGCGACGGAAAGAATACACCGCTCGTCAACTCGGGTCCAAATGCGCCATGGCCATCTGTTTTGTGTTTTCGAAGAGCAAGGGTGGAGCCAGTGAGCGATGTCGACTTTGACAAGGCGGTGCCAGGGAATGCTGGAGAGCATGGTGATCCTCTGAGCATGGTGAAGAGTTGGTGTCAAGGGTTGTCTAAGCGAGAGGAGGATATGTCACAAAGAAAAAAAGAACGGGAAGCTGCGCTTCTTCGTGAAAAAGCCGAAGTGGACGGGAGAAATATCCAGCTTAACGGTCACTCGCCAATGAACCCCCGGCGACCAAGTAACGCAGGACCAGCTCTAACAGCAGCAGGCGTCATGTACCCGACACCGCCGGATGGAGTTCTTCAGCCAGGAGTTATGCCCTTGTTCGATGGGACAACGGTCAGCCCAGCGAATCTCCCCCCCCAAAATGTGGTGGTCGATATGGAAGTAAATATACAACAGGATGTTTCAATGACGGATGGCTTTGGTGTTGGATGGGATGGTCAGGAGTCGAAACCTGAACCGACAACGGCTGGGTTCACAGACGAGCATATGTATGGCGATTTGGACGAGGATATGTTTGGAGGAAACGAACTCACGGATGCCGACTTCAGCTTCTTTGATCAGCCAGCGGATAATCTGGATCTAGACTCTCATCAAGTGGACGGCACCGGGCCTTCTATGGACCTCCAGTTAACGAATAACACAGCGGCTCAAGAACCCGGACGAGCTACCCAAGGACCGAATAGTCGTCAACCAGGCCCTACAAATGCACAACCACAGTTTACGAAACCCGAACTTAAACACGCTCGCAGTATTCTCGCTGAGAGTCGACAGCAAATAAACGCCCAAAATTTTAATCATAATTCGGCAGTGGGTATCAAGAGGCAGACCAGTCCCTTCAACCCAGAAACTGTCTTCAAGAAAATCAAAGCCTCCCTTCAGCCAGTACCTCCCTCACGGGTGGCACCCAAAGGCGGTCCTCCGCGGCGCCGGAGCGTGTATGAGAGGGTGGAATTCAACCCTGCCCTTTCACTTGATAGCGTCAAGTATCAAGCGAGCGGACCATTTACGTACCAGCCACCAACACTAAACAGCTATCTGCCAAACGAGGGCCCTCTAACCACCGGTCGCCTGCTCGGATCTGCCAAACAACGGCGAAACATCAAAGAGTTGTCGTTTGATCTGCTTGGCTTACAGAAGAGGATCAACGGTGCAGGTGCCAGTCCAGCCAAAAGAGACGAAGGACTCTCGGATGACGACGAAAGTAGTTTGGAATCGGATGATGATACGACAAGCAATGTCAGCGCACGCGCCTCTTCTCCAGCAAAGTCGAGTGTGCTGAGAAGGCGGCCTGACGATGATGTTATTTCCATGGCGGCTTCGTTCAAGGACCTGGAGAATTATGCCACCGACTCCCCCGGTTACTCTCCGAATGACTTGATCCGCCTTTCCAACTCGGAAGTGCCAGAGTTGTCGCTGACGAGGTGGTTTGCAGACCCGGAGCCGGTGCCACTCCGTATATCTGTCTCGGACGATGATTTTATTACTGTTGCGCAGGTCCTTACCGAGCAAGCGGCTGGTGGGACTTTGAGATTGGAGCCAGAAAGACCATGCTCCGAGATCCGGGACACACGTCAGGGGTTGGTAGATGCCATTCGGTACTCTATTCAGGGACTTCAACGGGCTTTGCCACGGGCACTGATGGGTGCGACTGAGTGCCATTTTCGGGCGTTTGCTGAGGTTCAGGATGTGCCATTATTGGTTCAGCCAGTCCAGCCACAGAGTCGGGTGCAAATGAGGCCGGCTGATCTAGGCAGGCCAACATTTCAAATACTGCCAGTACCCCATATTGAAGTCCGTCGCAATAATGGCCAGCTAGCGCTGTTACCTTCAGCACTTACCTTCTGGGAGAGCTTGGGTCTTGGTCCAGCGCAAGGTGCCAAAGATGTTGTCGCTGTGTGCGTGTTTCCACACGGAGAAGGCATGCGGGACAATGCTACCGTCTTCTTGGAGAGGATGAGAAGCATGTACGAGTTGATGAATTTTGGAAGTCATGCCAAGCTGCCCACGACGGCGAGTATTGTGGACGGGCTTGTCTCTGTCCCAATCGATCAGGGGTTTGTCTCTCCCGGTATGCATCTTTCCAGGCCTCACTCAATCTACACCGACCACATGGCCAACTTAGCCCTATCACTCGCCAACGTGCCTATGACGGAGAAGAACTTTGTCGTGTATTTCGCATACAACCCGGAAAACCCGACGTCCATCGTGGATTCCTGCTGCGCCTTCCAGGAGTTATTTGAACATTACAAACGCTGCATGCTAGAGAGGAAAAAGCAGATCCTCAACGAACTCGTCCTCCAACTCATCCCGCTCGACCTCATTGCGTCGGATACCTCGATGGTTGTCTTGCCAACGCCAGAGTGCATGCGCCTCTGCATCGAAACCAGCGACCGCTGCACTCATATTACGTGGTCCCATGCCCGCCCCGGCAATCATCCTCGAGAGCGCCCTGCCCAGGGAAGTCCCCTTTCGAATATCCCCCACCCCGTCCCCGGACGTCCTCCACGAAAACAGCCACATGCATGTCGCCTACGCGCAAAGCACAGACGAGCGCTGGGTGACGGCAGCGTGGACCGACCCCCGCGGCCAAAAGCAAATGACGGCCTCGTACTGCCTAGGCCGAAGGAACAAACCGCTAACCCGCCACATCAGCGAGGTGATATCCGAAATCTGGGAAACGACCTATGACCTCATCTCGTCGTGTAAAGTCTCGTGGAAAATCATCGTCACCAAGTCAGGCGTGATGGAACCCCAGGAAGCGGACTTGTGGATCGCAAAAAGTCAGGACGAGCACAGGGTTGTGACGAGCTTGACGCTCGTGGTGGTGGATGCGAACCCGAGCTTGCAGCTTGTGCCGCCGGTGGTGAGGGTGCCGCCTGCTGGGGTGCATGCCGCGTTTTATACCACGCCTGTGTCGACGCCGCAGCCGTTTTCGGTGCTGTCGCCTGAACAGGGGAACAATAACCCGTCTACGCCGACGGTTGTGAGTAGTAGTCATAATAACCCGGCGACGCCGAATGATAATACCAATAATGATGGTGGGCAGGGGGGGGATGGGAATGGGGTCGAGAGGACGGTGGTTGATGTTTGGGATAGTGTTTACTCTGTTGTTGTCGCGCATAGGCTGAGCAATAGTCTGGGTTTGACCGAGATTAATCCTGCTTGGGCGAGCGTGTATTTGGTGAGGAGGAATGCGAGTACGGGGGGAGGATG